TCTCCTACTCTATATTCAGTCATTCTTACAACAGTTTCAACAGAGTGTTTAAGGGAATTCTTCTGTATTGCTAATGGCGGATTCCGGCTTTGTTGTATCCTGGAGGTGTTTTGCTATGGAACCTGATAGCAAACTCAATTAGAATTGGGGCAAATAACACCTTAAAGAAGGTGACTACACGCCTCAAAATCACAAATCATTCTTCCTTCTTTAATCCCATGTATTTGTTTCAACAATCTTAAGGTGTTATTTGTAAGAAGGAAATTTGTGGCGGGGACATATATTCTTTGCAAATTTGCGTGTAAGGGTAAGTGACGTTTCAAATATCTTTAGAATTTGATTTTTAATTAAATTTCTATGTTCAGACGGAGTTTTAAAGGTTAAGTGAGATCCAATATTCCATACATGACTTTACAATAAGAAAATCTGGTTGCAGTGACTATGTACGTTGTTTTATATTTTGGGTATCTCACAAATTTGAATTTATGCTTCACTCCATGCATTTTATTTATGCAAAAAATGTGTGCATATGATATTATGTTGAGTTTGATGAACCGTTAATAATTAATTAATGGATATGTGTGATAGTCATCTATTAGTGAAATTGTTTACTAGTTCTTTTACTCACTGCTATACATGAATGATATATTTATTCGTTGATTTATTTACTTAAGAAGCATGAAATTGTTTTGTCATGTATGATGAATAATTGATACATGAATACTTTGTAATGTGGGTGTAAGTGTAGCTTCTTAAAGTTACAAGATTTATCATGCTTGTAAAACATTGAAGGTCTAATTATTTGTGCGAAGTACTAGTACTCTAACTTAGAGCATGCAAATTGCAAAGCTTGAGAATGCTTGTGCAAAGTACGAGACAATAAAAAAATTGAGAAGGAATGTCTCTTTGACTTCTAAGAAAAAGAAGTATACTATTGAAAAGGAATATCTCTAGGACTTCTAAGAAAAAGAAGTATATGTTATATTATTTGAGTTACTAGCAATGGTACACAAATAAGATTGAATGGCTGAGAATTATGATTAAAAAATAATAATAAAGTTGTGGCCACAACTGAAGCCATCTATTTCTTTGTTTATGCTAGTTCTATTTAAAGTATAATGAAATGTCTAAACATATTGGCTTGACAAGTAAGTATGTCAATCGGTTACATTAAAGAATATATTTTGTAAATCATAACTTGGTAGATTTTAATAATATCAAAATCTAGTGGAATGAGGGCTGAAACCCTTTTCTTGAAATCACCAATAATGGTAATCCGACTTTGTATTAGAATACCACTGGTCCAAAGTTTAATGGGTAATAACAAATTACTGATAAGTGATTGTACATGCACTGAAAAACATTTTTACAATGCCCCTTCCAAGATGTTCAATGCAGAGTGCTACGTTTTTTGAGGATGAGTGGTATACTCTTAAAGAAGTTCAAACTAATGTGAAGTGTCTAAAGTAGCAGGGACACATATTGGAACTTTTTTTATATGAACATAAGAAGTGGTGCCGCTTCTAGCAAAGGTTATTTGGGTTTACTCTTATAAATATCTATGAAACCAGGATGAGCACAGGGCCATAATAGTGCTAAATAAATTATGAACATTTTATAGAAACTGGATATGATCATGCATCTGGTATTTTCGATTTTAACATTAAGGAGACTTGGTTTAAGATGCGGCCACCATTGTTCTTCGTTAAAACTTTAAAGTACTTACACTAATTGAAGGTTTAAATCGAGAGATACCTTATTGTATATGTGATGATATTACTGTAATTTTGACTAGTAGAGAGATTGTTGAATATATTGTAATATATATATGGATGAATATATGGAGTGAGATAAAGGCAGTCAAGTGAATGTACCAAAAGTCATGTCTCTTGAGTGAATGTACCAAAAGTCATGTCTCTTGAGTTTGTACCAACAGTTATGCATGTTGGATTTCTACGAAAAGACATAACTTTTGAATTGGAACTAAAAGTCACAACCTCTGCACCAAGAGTCATGTCTGTTGTATACACCCCTACGTACTTTATAAATAGGGTGGCTAATTCAGATTTGATATAAGAATGTAATCCTAAATATATTCTCTCCTACTCTATATTCAGTCATTCTTACAACAATTTCAACAGAGTGATTAAGAGAATTCTTCTGTATTGCTAACGGCGGATTCTGGCTTTGTTGTATCCTGAAGGTGTTTTGCTATGAAACCTGATAGCAAACTCAATTAGAGTGGGGGCAAATAACACCTTAACAAAAGTAACTACACACCTCAAAGCCACAAATCATTCTTCCTTTTTTAATCCCGTGTATTTGTTTCAACATTTTGTCATTTAAATTGTAAAAAAGAGACAAAAAAAAGTGTATTTATCAAAAAAAAAAAAAAAAAAAAAAAAAAAAAAAAAGTTTGCAAATATTACCCTCCTTTATTTATTCACGTTAATTTAAACTTTTTAGTTGGTTGAACTTAGGGTTGCACGGATAATGATGCACCTAACCCCTTATTGAGAATGTAAGGAGATTGTACTTTATGTATTTAGGGTCCCTTTATTTTGAATAAAAGTTTAAACTATCCAAAAATAATAATTTTTTTTAACAGTAACATGATAATTTAAGGAGAGAATAAAAATCACTCTTAAACGACAGTATTTAAGTTCTAAATGGATTGTTGAAGGTAACATGCAATTAACCTAATCATGAATATTTAATAGAACATGCTTATAATATAATACAATTTTTTATTTTTTGGGTAAGTATAATATAATTAATGTTGCTTTTCTTAGAATTAATAATGTTTATAGGTGCTCTCTCTTCTAATAAAATAAGTGACACGGAGTAATTGAGAATGCATTTGAGAGCAATTCATTATTTTTTTTCTAAGTTAGTACACATTAATTACATTAACTTGGCTCTCATTAAGTTAAAGTAAGTCTATGTTAGAAATCAATTTTATGATTTATATATGAATAATGATAGGGAGACCAATGAATTAATCCTGAATAAGTATCGAATCTGAAGTGTTTTTGTCCACCTCATCTACTTAAACAGTTTCTAAAAATAATTGTTTAACACGTGATAAGAATGACCAACCACATCAAATTCGATACTAATTCGATAATTCCTTTCCGGTAAGGATGGCAACGGGGCGGAGTTGGGATGAAGTTAGCTAAACCCTACTCCGCCCCATTAAAAAATTAGTCATACCAACTCCGCTCCAACTGCGAGACGGGTTTATAATTGGTATACCATCCCCGCCCCTACTCCGGTTGACAAATTTCCAACTCCGCCCCCCATACTCCGTTTAATTGCTGCAAAATTGAAACTGTTGAATTAATTCCTGGACTTGGGATAGAATACTAAGATCTTGAATCTTTGAAAATTGAATCACGTGCACAATTGTAGAATTTTAGTAAGTAGTGATTCTAGCGAATATTTAGTCAAAATATATTAATAGACACTTATATTAAATATATATATATATATATATATATATATATATATATAATCGGGTCGGGGCGGGGGTGGGGTGGGGACATCACTAAATCCGCTCCCGCCCCAAACCCGCTTCGGGTTTTCAATTCTTTTACCATATCTGTCACAAACCCATTTATGAAGCTACCAAATCCGCCCCATTAGGAACGAAGGAGGGCGGAAACCCAGCGGGTTGGAGGAAATTGCCATCCCTACTTTTCAGTTCCTCTATCATTACTCTTTATATATATATATATATATATATATATATATATATATATATATATATATATCTTTGTCAAAAGAAACTCACTTATTTTTACAAGGACTAAACCTCTTTGATGATAATTTTATGATATTCATTATGGGCAATTTTGTGAATTGATACACTGGAAAAGTCCAATTATATAAAAATAATATCAAAATTTCCAAAATTTAATCAGTTTTAGTAAATGAAAAAGTGAGAAAAAAGTTTGACTGTTGGAAAAATATTCAAAATAAATTTAATCTCGACGGTTTATCCTTGTACGATCATATGTCGGATGGGAATAATCTGACTTACAGAAATAGAAAGTTCATGAAAACTATATGAGGTCTACCTCACTGTAATATGTCTCAAACATTTTTGAATATCAAATTAAATTAATTAAATGAACTTTAGAAACTATTGAAAATGACTTGTTCCTCTCATCTTGTTCCTTATTGTTTTTTTAGTGTCACTCCTCGCTTCCCTTTGGAGCCAAAGCCCTCTCTTTTGAAAAACCTCTCTCTCTCGCGCCGTCTCTCTCTCTCTCTCTCATCGGTTGCGATTTTGCGGTCATACAACGGTAACCCTTTTTCGGCAATCTTCATAATATATATATTTCCTGCTTTAGTTGGATGTTTTATTCTTCTTAGATTCATTTTCTGACCCATATCTGAAGCTTCTCTCTCTACCCCTCTCTCTCTCTATATAGAATTATTATATATATATATATATATATATATATATATATATATATATATCTTATTCTTTAGCTCACTTTAGTTAAGGTATTATTGTGCATTAGAAAGCTAGCATCTTTCTATTTGAATTTAGAATTTAGTATCAAGATGGGGATTGTATAATTGTTCCTGTTGGGAGCTCAATTTCCTGGTAATTCAAGTTGAACCACTTGAACACTTAGATGGTTCAATTGGGTCATTATTGTTTTCTTCTATATTGTGCTTGCAGATGTTGTTTGCTTTGACCATTTGATGTGTTTGATTGGTACAATTCTTTATCTTTGTGGGCAAGTCTTTATATAGGTAATTTAAATGACATTTTAGGGCAATATCAAGAGTTGGAAAACTATAGCTCTTTGTGCTTTTGTATTTTTATGACCATTTCAGTGTTGGCCCGTTGGGTATCTTTTAGGTGAAGTATTGGCTAACTAACTTATAATCATTTAAGAGTTTTTTTTGCCCTTTTCAGGAAAGATGGTCCATTGGATAACATTATTTTTCAATTCCTATTCTAGGAATAATACAGTATGGTATGATGCTAAGCAATTATCATAACGATCTAAATTTTGCCATTACAATTATATTCTGTCTCCTATAGTAAAAACTGTTCTTTAAATGCTTGAGTTGTGGTTGTCAGATTTTTTCAAAAAGAAGAAGGTTTAACACTTTGGGCTTGTGTTCATCTCATTAATGTGCTTGTGCAATGAAATATATGTTGAAATGAGGAACATGTTCGTAAGGCGTCATACACGTGTACAAGATGTCAAGATTGTCCACGAAATGTTGGTGTCCAACACGTGTTTGATACGTCACCTCTGTAAATGTGTGTGTGCCTCTTAGGGTAGAAAAATCCATTATCTATAATGTATATCAAATTTTGTTGAGTTTCCAATTCCACATATAGAAACTTAAAAAACTAATAAATGTTATATATTTTCTCATAAAATATACATATTCATAACATATGTACGTCTATATGACCAACAGGCCTGTGGCCTAGCGGTATAAGGCTCCCACTTCCCAAAGGAAAGTCAGGGGTTCGAACCTCAGTGGAGGTAGTATGTGTGAGTACCAACTAGGAAAAAAAATGTATGTCTATATGTTGTTGTGTTCTCATCGTGTATGTGTTTACTCTTCAGGATGTCATTGTGATTTGGTGAAACTGTCTGGTGCTCAGTTGTGTCCGTATCTTACATCCATACCTATGCTTCTCTGCTCTAACATGTCTCCTTACTGCTATTTATCAGTTATGCTTTTGGAATCATGAAACATTAGTTTTAAGTTAGCTATCACCCAAATTTACATGATTGAAATAGATTTAAGGGATCGGTCTTGAAGAAAAAGAAAAAAAATTGATTTGCAGAACTAGCTATTAGAGTTGTATCTCCTGCAACTCACAAAAGGGGAGATGCAAATTTCAAGCCCTCTCGTTGGGATGTCTTGGGTTGCTGAGTGGGTGTAATCTTGCTTATCGGAAAAAACCGGCTTGCAGAAAAGTACATCCACAGTATTTGATTGATCATTGATCATCAACAGGAATATGGGTATCTTGATTTTGCCTTCATTCTCTTTCCATGTTTCATTCTCTTTACAAATTTAATGGCATTGTTGGCTAAAGTTACCTGTATCTAGAAAATCTGTTTGTAAAACCTGTATATATGCATACTTAGGTGTTTTCCGTCATCTGCTTTTGGAAATGTACTGGTTGCATGGAGGGTTTTGTTTATTTTATTTCTCATCTTGTGTTGTTGCCTTTCCTTTGAAGGCCTTCTCTGAGTTGAGTTAGTTCTATTTGTTCCGGAAATGATTAATAGCAATGGGCTGGGCAAAAGTGGGAGTGGCATGCCCGCTTACCATAAGCAGCCACCTGTAACAATAAAAAAGATTGCACTGAGGGATGTGCAGAACAATAACTTGAGCTTGATACATGACCATCCAGAAAGTTCACCTCTGCTGGAGGGAAGACCCATTGCAGATGCAACCAAGATTTCTGGGACTAAGAGACTTACACCTGAGTATACTTCAATCCCTCCCTTTCTGCCATCACTGAGCAATAATGGTGCCAGTGAGCATCTTGTATGTGCCCGTAGAAAATTTGAATCAGAAGTAGGCAAAGGAAGAATTCAGGACACGTCGGACAAAAATGCTGATTTTCTCCCATCGAGTTCAATGAATTTTTGCCACAAGCAGCAGGAAATACCCCAGCAACAAACTGAGATGAGAAAGAGGAATATGCATTGTTTTCCTGTAGTTACACCAAATCATATGGCTTCAACAATGACCTTCTCGTATGGTGCACCTTCATTTTCCATTTCTCATGGGAAGCCTGGTAATAGGCTGCCACTGCCAGGTCCTGAATCTAAATGCCTTAAGCTTACCTCAGAAGTTCATCATTCCATCGATTCTAAGGCAAATGATGATCAACAACGGAAAGAAAGGTTCCTTCGTCTGCAAAGGTTCTTAAAGCACTGTGATGAGTCTTATCAAAGAGATTACATCCAGGGTAAGTCCTTGAAATTTTGTAGAGCTCCTTAATAATATTCTGTCATGTCTCGATTGTCCTGACAGTTTTGACTTTTGTTTTGTCACCTTGTTAGTGCTTCTGCACATAACCCCAACTGAACTTAGCAGACATGCGATTGAGTTGGAGAAAAGAGCAATACAGCTAACTGTAGAAGAAGGTAAGGGAAATAGTTGTTTTCGTTTTTTACTGGATTATTACATTCTTTCCACAGGAAAGGGAAATGTGTGCATGGTTCAAATACAAAGTTAGAAAAATGAGAATGATATCGTTTATCAGCATGGAACTTGAGTTTTACTAAATTCAATATTACTTTCTGTTTGTAGAACATTTTAAGGATATTTGAGTTCATATTTCAATGGAAATAATAATTCCCAATTCTGAGAAAGTATTCTCTGGCATATGACCGGAAGAAAGTCTTCTATATATATATATATGTAGGGTAGGAAGTAGATAGTGCCCTGCTGAGCACCTACAGTTGAGTAGTCATGTGAGATATCTAGTATTCCCTCATCTAGAACTGCCTGAATGAAGGAAAAGTACAATCTGGACTTTAGAGTTACTTTCTGTTTTCCTCCTAGATATTGTTTGCATCATGAGTGTCAGCATTATAGAATGGAAGTTTAGAAAAGCATATGCCATCAACTTCATTTGTTCAAGCAGTATACTTAATCTCAATGCTATCAAGGATATAACGTTCAAGATCAGCATGTCCACTAATTTTCTTGGAGTTTTCCCTATTTGGATTTATTGATAGATTCTGTTTCTGGTCGCTTTTGTGTTATACTAAGAATGAAGATCAATGTCCTGTCCTTAATTCTCCTGATATAAACTGTCATTATTTGGAGTATTAAAGATTAAAGCAATCACTACTATGGTTTTGCCTCCTATAAAATAATGAATGTACTCTTGATGATTTCTGCATTGACAATATTTTGTCTTGAGTCCCATATAGTGGTTGGTATCATCCTAATTACTAATTCACTAAATGTACAATTACATTGTGTAATGAGAATTTTGCTATAGTTCAAACATGAGACACACCTAAGTTGAAGAAAAGAAGCACTCTATTGTGAACTAAGTATTTGTTAATTAACTGCTGACTCTATGAAATAACGTGAAGAGAAGAAAGGTCTCTTTTGGAACATCGATGGAATGTTAGAATTAAAATATCCAACCTGGTTAGTAAAAGGTATTTTTTATTTATTTGTTTATTATTATTATTAATTTTTTTTGCTGTTTGAAACAATGGTGTATGTTAGCGATGCCAAGAATTGTTCTTGTAATTCATCCACCTCATTTTTCTTGACGAGCAATCTGCTCATAAATCTATACTACGATGAGTGAAGTTAATTCACTTGCTCTTACACGTCGTGAAAAATTAAGTAGAAATCAATTTAAAAGTTTGCTAACATTATCTGATGTTTGTTGGTCTGAGTTTGAATGTGGTGCAGATGCATGCTCAATTTCGATTGTGTTTCATCGTCTTGTGGAGGCACTATTTTCCTTATACTCCCTACAAACTCTCTGTAGTTTGACCGTCTTTACAACTTTGCCTGCTTTTTTTTTTCTGAACTTGTAGCTCTTATTTTTTAGTATACTTTTTTTATGCTGCAGTGTAATGTTTAAACTTTCGTCTCCCATATTGTGCATTCCCATAAATTAGACGATATTCATGTTTTAATTAGTTGTAATAATACTATAATAGTAACAGGATGATAAAATGGTTTTGTCATTATGTTTCTCTTCCCCCTGTTGCAGGAAAAGAAATGCAAAGAATGAAGGCTCTTAATATATTCGGGAAATCTGGCCGGACAAACAATCCATTGCCCACGACTCAACACCGCCAGTCTGAGAAATGAGAACTAATGACGGTAATAATTAAACCGGGTGATCGGGTTTCATTGAAACAAGTTTGATGTTGTTGCTGCGGACCCTTTGAACCATCCGGCAACTTTTTGGGTGAATTTGCTTTCCAGAAACTCCTTAATTTCCGTCTTTAATAAAAAGCATGTAGGTGTTTGATCAAACCCTAATATATTTATTGGGGGAAATGCAGTCTTGTTAGCACCTATAGGCTTGCTTTTCAGATCCAAATACGGTGCTTGTTTCTTTTACATTCTGTAGGCATTTCATATCAATAAAAAATAGAGAAGTGATAGGTCTTCCGACCTCGATTGTCGACTCATTCTTTGAATACAACGTGGTTGTGAATGAGTCGAAAAGAAAAAGATGTTTATGAAATTTTGTTTTAAAAGTTCTAACGGGATTGGGAATGAGTCGAAAAGAAAGAAATGTTTACGGGATTTTGTTTTCGGAATTTTGTTTTAAGAGTTCTAACGGGATCCAACCACGTTATATTCGTAAGATGAGTCGGTAATTAAAGCCGGAAAACATATCATTTCTTTAACAAATAAAGTATTGTCTCTTAATGTTGTTTTATTATTCAATATTCATATTTATAGATCCAAATTATTTCAATATGCTGTATGTTCTATTTTAGTTCTCTTAGTTATAGGAGCATGTTTGTGTTTCTTATATCAACAAAGTGATTCCATTGTTAAATACCAAAATTTAGCTATAGTCCTTGAAATTAAATGCTCGATCAATGAACCGAGGCCGAGCTTGGGTCTGACTACCAGCTCGGTTCATGACGAGCTCAATTTTCTGTCTCGGGCTTGTCTTAAAAGCTCGGCGCGGCTTGTTTAACAAAAATAAATAAAAATCAAACTCAAAATTAATTATAATCCACATGCCACAACACAAACTATGCACTCTCATGGAAAAATAGCTCGACCTCCAGCCTATTATCAAATCAAAGCTACTTGTTTTTATAAGAGAAATCTGAACTTACAATACTTATAATACAATTTCACAGTTAAAAGTATGATACGTAATACCTAATAAACATGAAAACACCAAAACAAAATAGGGTTTCTTACTGAAGGCAAAGATTTCACCTTCCACTGGACTTTGATCTTCATTGGACTCTTAAAAAGAGAGGAAGAATGTATAGATTAAATCATTTTTTTTAATGTTTGCCCTCTGGTTTTTCGTTGGTCTCTGCTCTTCACAATTTCATCATTATTGGTATAAACAATGAAGTGACTGAAAACAATACCTAAAAAAAAAAAAAAAGGGTAAAAAGTGATGAAATTGCGACTTGCAAGAGAGGTGTTTTTCGTTGGTCTCTGACTCTCTGCTCTTCACAATTTCATCATTGTTGGTATAAACAATGAAGTAACAGTGACTGACTACCTAGAGAATGGAAATTGCAACTTGCAAGAGATATGGTGTACGTCTGGTTTTTCATTGGTCTCTGCTCTTGACAAATTCATCAATTATTGGTATAGACAATGAAGTGACTGACTACCTAGAGAATACAAAAGAAACGAAAAGAATACAAAAAAAAAAAAAAAAAAGAAGGTAAAAACGTGATGGAAATTGCAACTTGCAAGAGATAAGGTGCACGTGATTGACTTAGAGAATGAAGGAGACTGTGACCAGATAATGTTTACATTATTTTATGAAAGAGATTGTGAAGAGATAATGTTTACATGATTTTATGAAAGAGATTGTGAAGAGAAAATGTTTAGGGTTGATAAGGTGTACGTGTTAATACAGTTGTCATCTGATGCCGTGCTCTCCCGCTGTAAAAAGAGTGTGCAACATGGTAGAACACTTTTTTTCTTTTTTTAGGTAAAAACATGGTAGAACACTTGACATACCAGAATAGCTCTTTTGATGAGAAGTTTACTGTGGGCTACGGTTTGGATATCTTTGAACTTAAGGTTGCGTTCCATTTCACAGCTTACCAAACCCATTAGAATTATTAAAGACAATTATTGCACATATATATAATGAAGACAATACTTTAAAGTCTTTGTAGGGCCCATTAGAATTATCAAAGACAATTATTGCATATATATATATGACTTGAGGACCACACTTTAAAGTCTTTGCAGGTGGTCATGGCTGACAGCCCTGGTTCAACAGGCAGTGCCTTCCATTAGGCCCGTTAGAATTATCCAAGACAATTATTGCATATATATATATATATATATATATGACTTGAGGACCATACTTTAAAGTCTTTGTAGGGCCCATTCTTGAAACTTTCAGCTTGGACGGAAGCGTTTCATGATAAGGCTGTGGTGGTGGATTCCAGCCGTGTCAAATCAAGGTCTCTCAGATTTGATGCAGGAGTCTCAGTATGGGTGTACATAACCATTTTAGAGATAAGGTGCACGTGTCAATACTTAGAGAATTAAAGAGATTGCGAAGATATAATGTTTAGAGATAAGGTGTACCTGTCAATACTTAGACACTGTGAAGAGATAATATTTATATTATTTTATTTATTTTAGTACTTAACCTATAATAAAATTAAGGAATAATTTTACTGACACCCCACTAGTTTAGTCAAATATCAATTTAAAATATCTTTCGAAAATAACTATCACTCACATTATAAACGTTTGTTCCGTTTTTCACTCACGCTCGAAAAATTAGTTGACAGGTGTGTCAGACCACTTTTATATGTAAAAAGACATTCTTACCCTTTGACTTTAGTTTGACCCAATAAATTATTTTTTAAATGATTAAAATTACATGTTTACCCTCATTTGACTTTAGGTTGACTATTCAAATGACATGCTTACATTTCCTTTTCCATATACAAGAATAAATAAAGTAGGTGATCAAAATCATACAGTTTGGTATTAAAGGCTATTATACGCCATACAAGTGTTCAGTTCTATATTTTTTTAAATAAATTAATGAAATTTTAAATAAGAAAATTTTATTTTTTAAGAAAATTAATTAAATTTAAAAAGAGAAAGAGAAAAATAAGAAAAATTTTAAAAACTAAAATATAAAATAAAATAAGAAAAAGCAACCATTCATATATTTTTTTAAGGAAATTAATGAAATATTAAATAAGAAAATTTTATTTTTGTAAGGAAATTAATGAAATTTAAAAAGAGAAAGAGAAAAATAAGAAAAATTTAAAAATTAAAATAAGAAAAATCATCCATTCATATATATATTTTTAAGGAAATTAATGAAATTTTAAGGGTTATCGTACATTTTAAGAAATTGAATATGTTTATATAGAGGGAAACAGAAAATGGAAGTTGTTGCAGGAAATTCCCAGTTCCTTTATTGCTCAGAGTACCGAATACTGATTATTTGTCAAAAAACACATTTCGTTACTCTCAGAAGAAAATAAAAATTATTCCAATTTTTTGTCAGAAGTAATGGTAGAAACTGGAAAACCAAACATTCCATGTACTCTATTTCATACTAACAATATGTATTACTAAAACGGTACTCGCATACCTGTAAAACAATATATTTCGGTACTTAATACCACCAACTACATTCGTATTCTTAATTTCATTTTCTGTCCAAACATTATTTCGCAGACAAAATTCCAGCGAACTCCACTCTTGATCTGTCATTCAACAATTTCACCGGAGAGATTCTGGAATCACCTGTTTTCTTCAACCACGAAACGAAATCATTTTTCGGAAATTTGAAATTGTGCGGTAGATCACTCAGGAAATTATGCCCAATTCCTTCCACTACCTCTTCTCTGCACCAACCACTTCTCCGCCATAAATTGCAGCGATCCCGAAGACCATAGATTCAACTCCGGTCCTCTCCTCCAGAAACCTCACTGGTATTCTCTCATGGTGGTTCCTCAGAAACATGTCTCACCTTCAAACCATCGACCTCTCCAACAATTCTCTCAAAGGCTCTGTTCCAGGTTGGTTCTGGTCCAGCCCATCTCTCACCAAAGTTAATCTCTCCAAGAATCAATTCGGAGGGACCATTGGGTTCGAACCCACTTCAGATATAGCTTCATTTTCATCGATTCAAGTCCTCAATCTTTCTACAAACAGGTTCACTAACTTGGCTCATCTTTCTAGTTTTCGAAGCCTCTTTGTTCATAACCTCTCCCACAACAATCTCAAAATATTATCTTCTGGTTTTCCCAACATAACCAAACTTCAATAACTTATCCGCCATGAATGATTCCACAGCTTCAGGTGAAGCGAGCGTTTCTTCTTCTGGCAATCAAATAGTACCAGCAAAATCAACATTAAAGAATAAGCGAATTTTGGTTGCCGGCGGCTTGGACAGTCGGTACTTCGCCCACCGGTGAGTGAAGGGGAAGAAGGGGAAATTTGGGTCTGCGACTTGTAGCCATATAGAGATAGAGGAGAGAGAAACAGTGTGTGTAGGGGTACAGAAGTCATTTCCATTATCTAATATTTTGGAATAAATATGATTAAAAAATTAGGGACAAACATGTCTTTTCCCGTGTTTTTAACGGAGGCTGTAACGGAAAAGCGAAAATGGACCTAAGTGATAGTTATTTTCGAAATATATTTTAGACTGATACTTGGCCAAACTAGTGGGGGTGTCAGTGAAATTATCCTTAAAATTAAAGATCTGGCTCACTTGATTATAATATGTATATATATATATATATATATATATATATATATATATATATATAATATCTAATATATGTATTTATATATCGAGCCGAGTTTTATTCACGAATATTAACAAGTTTAAATTAGCTCGTGTTCACGAGCTTATATGAGCTGAGTCCAACGTTATGCAGGCTTGACTTGTTTACTAAACGAGTCTAGAAAATGGACTTTAACTCAGCTAGTTTACCTTAATGAACGAGTCCAAGCCGATTCGCCGAACTCTCGGCGAACCGAGCACGAGCTATTTATGAACAGTTCGGTTCATTTGTAGCCCTACTAAACGGTAAGCAGCATACATTCATCAAATATTGGATAATGACACATGTTTCGTTGTGAGCGGTCCAAGTCATCAGCCAAAAGTGGTTGCGAAGCACCTTAACATAAACTCCAAAAATTGGATAAGGAACCATAAAAGCATGACGGCCTCGTTACCTCTTCCTCAGGGTTGCTAACTTCCTCAGGGTTGCTAATCACAGTCACCCGCGACTGTAGAATCTCAGTGGTTAGTTTAGGGGCTGACGCGTATACTTTCTTTTTCAATAATTAATTACTATTTTTTTGCTAAGGGTCTCTCATTATATATTATTACTATACTAGCCTCCTAATTGAGAAACTTCCGAATATTTTTTACAAAATTCCATATCTAAATGTTTGAAATTCCAACATTAAAATTTTCATTTTCTTTTTTTACAAAAGTACATATCTAAATGTTTGAAGTTCAAATCTGAATTTTTTCATATCTGTATTATTTGTATTCGAAGTATTGCTCTGATTTTTCATATTAAAAAAATAAAAATAAAAAATTTATCATAAAATAAAAAGAAAAAAGTACTATAATTTTTTTTCTTCAGATTATACCTTTTTATTTTTTTTATTTTTTTATCTGATTTTACTTTTTTTTTTATTTGAAAAACAACCAAATACTTTGAAACAGAGAATAGGGATCTGATAATACTTTTTTCACTGATTTTTTTTTTATTTTTTTAATCTGAAACCTCCATGGTTCCATCTCACTTTAAAATTTTATTTTTTACAAAATTCCATATATAAATGTTTGAAGTTCCAACTCTAAAATTTTCTTTATACAAAAGTTCATATATTAATGTTTGAATTTTTTCAGATATTCTTTGTATCCGAAGTATTGCTTTGATTTTTCAGATTAAAAAAAAAAAAATTTATCATAAAAAAAAAAAAAGTAGTATAAATTTTTTTCAGATTATATTTTTTTTTTCATCTGATTTTATTTTTTTTATTTGAAAAACAACCGAATACTTCCAAACAGAGAATATGGATCTGAAAAAATCAGATAATTTTAGAGAGAGAATCAGATTATAGTACTTTTTCAGTTGTTTCTCAATTAGGAGTCCAGTATAGTAATTATATATAATGAGAGACCCAAAAGGAAGTTAGCATAAAAATAGTAATTAATTTATGGAATTTTGTAAAAAAAAAAAAAAAAATTTACAAAAACCTCCACGATTCCATCTCACTTAAAAAATAAAAAAATCATAAAATAAAAAGAAAAAATTACTATAATTTTTTTTCAGATTATACTTTTTTTTTCATCTGATTTTATTTTATTTTATTTGAAAAACAACTGAATACTTCAAAATAGAGAATATGGATCTGAAAAAATCAGATAATTTTAGAGAAAGAACTAGATTAGGAGGCTAATATAGTAATTATATATAATGAGAGACCCAAAAGGAAGTTAGTATAAAAATAGTAATTAATTATTGGAATTTTGTAAAAAATAAAATTTTAAAGCGAGATGGAACCGTGGAGGTTTCAGATTAAAAAAATAAAACAATTAGTAAAAAAAGTACTATCAGATCCCTATTCTTTGTTTCGAAGTATTCGATTGTTTTTCAAATAAAAAAAATAAAATCAGATAAAAAAAGCTATAATCTGAAAAAAAAAAAAAAAAAAAATTATAATACTTTTTTCTTTTTATTTTATGATAATTTTTTTAATTTTTTTAATCTGAAAAATTAAAGCAATACTTCGAATACAAAGAATACACAAAAAATTCAGATTTGAACTTCAAACATTTATATATGTATTTTTGTAAAAAAGAAAATTTTAGTATTGGAATTTCAAACATTTAAATATAAAATTTTGTAAAAAATAAAATTTTAAAGTAAGATGGATCGTTGAAGTTTATGAAATTTTTCAGTTAAGAGGCTAGTATGATAATTATATATAATGAAAGATCCAAAAAAAAAAAAAAATAGTAAAAAAATAGTAATTAGTTATTGAAAAAGAAAGTATGTTGACCCCTAAACGCAACTCAGATTTCCTGCATTAAAAGTTCACCACATATTTTTCTTTTATAAAATCGCTTGTGGGCCCCAATTTTTCAGTGGTGTTTAATCCCATGCGATATTTTAAGGGCATAACGCGAAAATGACACCTTATGTTTAGTTTGGTTAAATAAAAAATAATAATAACAAATAAAAAAAAAAAAGAGAAAAAGTGGAATGCATAAAAAGAATCTAAATTTTTCATCATGTATTTGTTTAACATGAATTTTTTTAAAAGATAATTATCAAAATTTACATTTTTATGATTTAAATAAAATGAAACTTACCATAAAAGTAAGTTCATAAAACTTTGTGAAGAATCAAAATTTTCGTGTTTAAATTTTTTTTTTTCTTTCTTTTCTTGCAATTTCTATTGAAACAAACAGAGTATTAAAGACTAAGTAGCTATGGAGGGTTGTAATGGAAACTTCTTAAACAAATTTAACTCTGAATTTTTCACTCTTCTTTCGATCAATAAGTAGCTATTTATATTTACTGTATAAATAGTGTCCCCACCGCTTATAAATGGATTTCTTATTTAAAGAGAACAGAGACTGTGACCACCACACTCCCACAACTAAGAACAGGGATTTCCCCTCTCTCTCTCTCTCTCACTCTCTAGAATCTTTTCGTTTCTCTCTGCTGCCTGAATCCATGGATCCATACAAGGTATGGTTGTTTAATTCCTGTTTTAATTTTTAAGTTTATTGTTTCTTTTCATTGGAAATTCAATTAATCAATCGGTTAGTATTACCTCGTTTAATCTCTCATCTATTCGTTGTTCATCGTTCGATTTTCTTTCAGTATGTTTATCAGATCCGTTTGCTTCTATTTGAATTGAGAATCACTTTCCAAAATGGCTTTTGTGAATTCAATTTTGTGATATATTGTTTAAGTGTTAGTTTTTCTTTCAAATTTGTGATTTTAATGCGTTATCTTTCTATATTGTGATCACATTCTTTTATATACATGCATATATTTGTATGTGTGTGTGTGTTTGGTACCATCATGTTGGTTAATGACAACAGAAATGAAAAGAAAATTCAAGAAAATGTTAAATCTTTATCTCATGGTTTCCTAAAAGCTGAAGATTCGCTCTCTAATTGTTATTTTAAGCTCAATTGGTCTATAAACAATGAAAATTCCACTTTTGGACTTCTATATATATATATATATATATATATTTGTTTGTTTTTTTTATCCCCTTCTTTCTTATAAGCCAAACAAATTATTTTTACTGCTTTACATGTGTTATTGTTCTTTTTCTACTTGAGTTTCCATCTTCATTTCCTAGCATTGAATTTTTTTTTTTTTTTGGCTGTCTCTATATATATTCATATAATTTGTTTGATGCAGTACCGCCCTTCAAGTGCTTATGACTCTCCCTACTGGACAACAAACGCCGGTGCTCCAGTGTGGAACAATGACTCAGTACTGACTGTTGGAACTAGAGGTATTTTATTTCAAGTTGTTCTAATTTTTGTGTGCCTTGCATCGTTTTTACTAGTCAAAAAATTGTATGTTTGATATTGGGGCTTTCAAACTAATGATTGTTATGTTCTCTAGAGATACGGCTCAGTAATTGTACCTCTATCGAGCAATTTTTTTTTTTAAAAAGGTGCTGCTGTTTGTCGAGATGTTGGGACATCCTTTTTATCTCTATTTTTGGATATAGTGCACTTGTGTTTGTTCAACCATTGTTTAATCGACCTCTTAAAACTATATAGGTGTTTTGAAGCACTGTAGCATTATGATTATATAATAATAATTTGGGTGTTGTATGTCCTTCTCCTGGTTTTCTTTCCCTAATATGATGGGGTCACAGAATATTAAAGAATGATATTGAGTTGTGAATTAGCTGTTTGCCTGGACCAATTATTATTTTTGAGACGATTCATGTATTTAGGCATGCCTAAATGCAGTTGCTTGTGTTATATATCTATTACCGACGGTAATCATTTTCCACTATATGTCTAAATTCAGCTGCTTGAATTGATTCACTAATTTATATTATAGAAAATTCACAAGAAATTCAGATTTGGGGAGGCTTCCTTTTAAAATCATATAGTGGAATGTTCGACAGGTTTTTGTTTGAAATAGGAGAGTAGAAAACATTCGAACAAGTTCTGCCATGTAAGACTGTTACTTGTGAAACGTAGATACTTCTTAAGGAACATGTGGCAACATTGTACGAAATGTTAAACAGTTGAAAATAGTTGAATAATTCTGAGCTGGAGATTTTGTTCGCTTGAACTTCTTCCAGTTATTTTATTTTATTTCTCTTTAAATTAAATTGTGATTTGGACTTTGCTTCCATTTGGCAGGTCCAATTCTCCTCGAGGACTACCATTTGGTGGAGAAAATTGCCAATTTTGATCGAGAGCGCATTCCAGAACGCGTTGTCCATGCAAGAGGGGCCAGTGCCAAGGGGTTTTTCGAGGTCACTCATGATATTACTAACCTTACTTGCGCAGATTTCCTTCGAGCCCCAGGTGTTCAGACTCCCGTCATTGTTCGTTTCTCCACTGTTATCCATGAGCGGGGTAGCCCTGAAACCCTGAGGGATCCTCGAGGTTTTGCTGTCAAGTTCTACACCAGAGAGGTGAGTCTTGTGTGATACTTGTTCTGTTTTACAAACAATCTCTGGTTATGTGTTGACATTTTATGAAATATTCGATCAATGCAAACTTTATATGTTAAGAGCTTTAATTTGCTGTGAAGCTTTATACGTGCGGAGCTGTCTTGATTGTCTGCCGCCAGTCTAACTTGTTGATTATGTTCGTCTGTGGCAGCAAGTTAGGTAGGTCCTGCATCTGCGCGCGTGCGCGCGCGCGCACACACAGGGAGAGAGGGAGGGGGTGGGAGGGAGAATGATTTTGAAGGTTTATTGTTATAGCTTTGCTACTGTGGTCGCTAGCAGAAAGTGGTTGCAAAAGCATGCTTTGCAGATTTTACATTGTTTTGGTCTTTGTGGATATTATAGGCATAACATTTATGCATGGATCAATCTATGTAATCGTAGGGGATGAGACATAAATAGTGCTTTGGTCTGTATATATTCTATATATATAAGATCAATCAATGTAAAAAAATGTCAGTTGAACGTACAGTAGTTTTTTTCTAGAGAGAGAACTATTGATCTGCTGCACGTCTATGGTGTACCTTTCTTGGTTTTGCATCCCCATATCAAGGTTAATATAGCTCTCACTAATAGTAGTTTTCTTCAACTTTTTAGTTTTCTTATGTTTAGTTGAGCCCCTCTTCTCCATGACCCACTTTATTTTTAGACAAACAAAAATGTCAGTTGAATATATATTAGTTGTTTATGCAGTACTATCATTTGATTGATGCTCATGAATGATGTTCCCTTCTTGGTTCTGCATCCTATATCATGGTTGTCACTTCAAGTTTTATTCATCTTCTTAATTTTATTTGAGTTGAGCTCCTCTGCTTCCTGTCCGTCTTCATATTGTGACATTTTTCTTGAGAACAGGGTAACTTTGATCTGGTGGGCAACAATTTCCCTGTCTTCTTCATCCGTGATGGAATGCAATTCCCAGACGTGATCCATGCTTTTAAACCCAACCCTAAGTCCCACATTCAGGAATACTGGAGAATCCTCGACTTCTTGTCTCACCGTCCGGAGAGTTTGAGCACGTTTGGCTTCTTTTTTGATGATGTGGGTGTTCCTCAAGATTACAGACATATGGAAGGTTTTGGTGTTCACTCCTTTACTCTTCTCAACAAAGCTGGGAAAGCAAACTATGTGAAGTTTCACTGGAAACCTACTTGTGGAGTGAAGTGTTTGTTGGAGGAAGAGGCCATTAGGGTTGGAGGGTCCAATCACAGTCATGCCACCAAGGATCTCTATGATTCAATTGCGGCTGGTAACTATCCTGAGTGGAAGCTTTTCATCCAGATAATGGATCCTGATCATGAGGACAGATTTGATTTTGATCCACTTGATGATACCAAGATCTGGCCTGAGGATATTTTTCCCCTGCAGCCGGTGGGCCGCTTGGTCTTGAATAAGAACATTGATAACTTTTTTGCGGAGAATGAGCAGCTTGCATTTAATCCTGCTACTGTGGTGCCTGGTATCTACTATTCTGATGATAAGATGCTCCAAGCTCGGCTATTCGCTTATGGTGATACTCAGAGGCACCGTCTTGGACCAAACTATCTGCAGCTCCCAGTTAATGCTCCTAAGTGTGCTCATCACAACAATCATCATGATGGGTTCATGAATTTCATGCATAGGGATGAGGAGGTATGGTGTTTTTTATTCTCTTTTCTGGGAAAATGTTGTGTTTGAATGTTATTTATCTGATGACTTGCTTTTCCAAAAGTTATCTTAGATTTTCATTTGGAGATTTGAGTTGATAGAATAAAATACAATATGCTAAGGTGGTATTACTTTTTTCTGCATCTGCTGCTTGGTTTTGATTGATTCTGTGATGCTTTTCTAGGTAAATTACTTCCCTTCGAGGTTCGATCCTGTTCGTCATGCTGAGAGATACCCTATTCCCCCTGTTATCTTGACCGGAAGGCGTGAGAAGGTCAGTTTATGATATTATCTTCTTTGTAGTGTTGACGATCGACTTTTATCTGGGATCATCAAATTAGTTGAATGACATTGGGTTTAAACTTCTTTAGTTATGTAACTTCAATAGATTTACCAGTTCAAAATCTGTTTTGGCATGATGGTCTTTTGTTGTTGGATTCCTTTTAACTAATATTGGAAGATCATATGCAGCTATTTTATTTTATTTTATTTAATACGAGAATCCATAGTACTTTATTTTTTTCTTTTCTTTTTTCTTTTTATTTGATTTTCGGCTTCTTTACTTTCATTTTGTTGTATTTTCATTTTCATTTTCATTTTCTTGACCTCCTTTTGCAAACTTAAATTCAGAAGCATGTTTGGTTGATTAATGTACTTGAAAATTATGCTTTGTGGTGCTGATAGCACCAGTGAGCAGTGAGCATTTGATAGGTGTAATGGTGGTGGTGGTATTGGTGAGTTGGTGATGCTATAACCAAATTGAAGGGATTCTTTTCTCTACATTTGGATATACATGCATGTATTTCGTTCTGATGTCAAGGGTTAGGTGCATGACCAGTCCCGTGACCTACTTAATGTGAAGTATGGTCGTGTTCAATAATAATCAAGACATAAAATCAGGTATTTACATAGATCTATTGAATCTGTTGGTCAATGCAGTGCGTGATTGCGAAAGAGAACAACTTTAAGCAGCCCGGGGAGAGATACCGATCATTTGCACCAGACAGGTACTATTTATCCCACAATTGCACTTCAAGTGATTATTTTTTATTTTTCTTTTTTCATAATAATGTGGATTTCCTCGGTTGGCATTTTTTTTCTTTCTTTCTTTCTAGGCAAGAGCGATTCATCTGCAGATGGGTTGAGGCTTTATCTGAGCCACGTGTCACCCATGAAATCCGAAGTATTTGGATTTCATACTTGTCTCAGGTACGGATTCCTTGCTTTCTTTGTAAATTATAATGTGGCTTGTTGTGAAGTTAAAAGTGGAAAAAGTTGGGTCATATTAATACTAATGCTATAATTTGTGGGGGGTTTACAGGCTGACAAGTCTTTGGGTCAGAAAGTAGCATCTCGTCTCAATGTGAGGCCAAGCTTTTGAAGCCGACCCGATCCGAACCGAACCTAGAGCTTTGAGTTGCTGAGTGAGAAAAAGTATGTAGAGAAGATCTTAAGTGTGGTCTGGAAGTATGAAGTCCTTGTTAATCCTTTTATGATGCTTGAAGTTGTAATTATTAATCTAAACACTAAACGCGCTTGTATGTCATGTGCTTGCCTATCTTAATAAATCATGGTTATGCTTCCAATATATAGTAGTTAGTTTATGTCCCTTCTTGATGCAAGTTTTACTAGTGTAAAAATTAATATGGTTGGAATCGTACTCTTATGGATTAAATTCTGGAGTTACATGTGTGTGTTGTGGAAGCCCTCACATATTTTCTCCAAAATATGAAGGCATGGTGTCAGTTTTGTGATTCATAGTAAATTGGATCACTCGACAGTTCAACACTTGTTTTGTGTTGTTTGATTGAATAGGACTAAAATGAAAAGGAGCAAAAGGGGTATTGAGAGGAAAAAAAATTAAATTTCCACTATTAACTTGAAATAATCAGCCTTTAATTTAATTCTAGAAGAATCCACTTTAATAAAAATGAAAGTTAGGGTCAGATTAAAGGTGAATATGATGAGAAGAGTGATGTGTTTTGGTGGTTTGAAAAGTGGCATATTTGTTAAAGTGGGAACGCTGTTCGATAAAATTAAAAATTAAGTTCTTTTATGAGCTGAATTTTAAGTGTTAAAGTTTTCAAGTAGTAATTAATTTTTTTTTTTTAAATTTTTTTTGAATTTTCAAAAGTGTGTCTCTCTCACTTAAAATTTTATCTCATTTTAAATAATATTTATTATTTTTAATGATATTTAAATTACACACTTAATTGGGATAATTGCTTATTCTTTCAAAATTATACGTTGCATAAGTGCACTTAACAAAATTATTTATTGAAATATATATTTTTTTATCATGGGCAAGAAACTCACACATACCATACCACTCACACACCCATTTTGCTTATTTGGATACTTCAATCTTCACCATTCACTTAAAGGAAATACCACTAAACCACAAAACCTTTCATAATTATTTATTGATTCTACATTTATTTATTTATTTTTCTCAAAAGGTGAAAAACTATTTTTATATATGTGAATGCTACTTACACGAAGAAAGCCCAAAGGCTATTAGTGACCCGAAGGGGTATATTCGCCTAAACAGAAGGAACCAAACTAGGGAAGGCCCATATAAAAGTTGAGTGCGCAACCAGGAGACCGGACCATTCATTTATACCTCGACTTAATAAGACCCATTAAAATTTATGAATAAAATTAGGTTGTTTGGTAGAATTAGAGTCTTGAAATTAAAATTTGTAAAAATTAAATAAAAAAAAAAAAATTGGTTCAATTTTCGAAGTTACTTTTCTCCAATTCAATTCCAATTTCATACCACATAACTTTAGTTTATTAAAATTTATTTGATTTCTAATCAAATTTTCTCCTATGATCTCAAATTCAAGTTCATACTGGAATTCTAAATTAACTAAACATGTCAATGCAAAGTCAAATAAACTTGAATAACTTATATTTGTATTCAAAATAAAATGATAGTTTTTAAAACTTGGAGCCGTGCTTAACCAATACTCCCTTTGTCCCACAAAAAAAAAATATCTAACTTTTCATTTTGGTCTAAAATAATTGTCACACTTCTTCTTTCAATGCACTATTTTTTTTAATATTTTTAATTTACCTTTATTAATTTAAAGTTATAAAAATAAAGGTGAAGTACAATAAACCCCCCCTTAACTATCATCCAAAACTAAGTAATGCCTCCAAAACAATTGAAAAAAATGAAATTTAAGGACAAAACTATCACTTTTGGAGGTCACCGGAGGTGTTAGATTACCGAATTGCCCTTTTAATAAAATGACATCTTAAAAGCTACTATTACTGACGTGGCAGGTGCAATCTAAATGGTTAATAATATTGCGCCAACACATCGCCACCTCATCACCACCCACACCACACCACGCGCTAATCGATCACCACCCACTCAAAGCCTCTGTAATCACACTCACAGCTCTCCCTCTAAACCTTACAACAACCCCCATCGTCCATGGCAGCCATCACCACCTTTCTCTTTTATTTTCTTTTATTTTTTTCTTTCTCCCCAATCAACCTCTAACTCGGGTGTAGAAAAGAAATTGAAGGAAAGAAGAAATTCACTTGTTGAAACCCTAGCTTGTTCCATTGCAACATAGCAACTGTAAGAGTCGAAATCTGCTCCTCTAATATTGAGTTCCTATCCTGCAATTCTTTCTTGATTCTAGATTATTCACGTACAATTTTTGGTTCTCAAGCTTCTTGTGTAGAAACTATGTTCCTTAGCAATCTGTACATTAAAAATAAATAAAAATAAAAAATCAGACAAACTTGAATAGAGACTACCATTGACGCAAGGATTGCAAAAGTGCCTAATTCATAATTCATTCGATCTTTGAGTCTGAAACGGCAACATCAATTTTTAAGCCTGAATTCGAGTTTTCAACCGGCTTGCACCGCTTGTAGTTGATGACGATCACTCGATGTCCAGTTCACCGCCAAATCCAGAGAGAACTCTCAAAATCTCTTTGATCTAAACGGCCCAGAGAGTCCTTGAAGGAGTAAACCATCTGGTGGAGCCAAGTTGTGGCCATAGAGTGAGAGTTGTTAATACTTTGCCTTGGGTTCTTGTACAGCTTGGAAGAGTTTAATAATTTCTTGGAGCTTTGGTGGGAGTTCTTCAATGGGTTGCAAGGTAATAAAGGCTGAAGATGATGAAGCATGTGGTTTGCTTGGTATGGTTTGTATTGAGATATTGATTTGGATTGAAGATGATGAAGCAAGACTAAAGAGGGGGTGAGAGTTTCAATTTGGGGTTGCAATTAATTTAGCATTCTAACTTTAATAAGGATAGTTTTGTCATTTTAAAATTACAGCCTAATCACATGTAGCGATGGCAATTTGACCCGTCCCATCCCGCTCCGTTTTTTGATGATTTTGGGGGACCGTTTTACTTATTTGGATGGGAATGGTTTGATGCAATAAAAACTCGGCCGGTTTTGGTGCAGGGACGGGGGAGGTTGCCCCGCACCGTCCCGTTTAGATAGGCATATTACTTATGTACCATTATTTCATTAGTATATATATTTCCCACTATATATTAAGTACCCTATATAATAATATTAAAGTAACAAATGAATTTTGGGGAAAAAAAAAAAGAAGAGTAAATCCATTTAAACAATAATTAAATTATTGTCTTAAACAGGGCGGGGCGGGTACTCGCAGGGGTAAAAATATTAAACGGTTACGGGAATGAGGTGAAAAATTTTCCCGTTTTTGCATTTTTGGACGAGAACGAGGGTGAAGTTTTTAAACGATTGCGGGACGGGGGAGGGTACACCCGCCCAAACCCGCCCCCGTTGTCATCCCTAATCACATGCCTGTTTAAGGGAGATAATCAACCGGAACAGTGCCGCTGGACTTTTTTGCTGAAAGAAGAATAGTTCAGGGGGTGTACTTTAAAAATAGAAGTTTAGGGGTTTTTTTCCTAAGGAGAGAGTAAACATCTGGGGTTTTGCACTTTACCCTAAAAATAATTTAAATTTGTGAAATTGTGAACCCATCATAAAAAAGTATATTTAAAACATTTTTTTTATGGGGTGTTAGTGTGTTACAGCAATTTTTACTGAAAGTTAATTTGAGAGTAAAAAAAATATATTAAAATTTATATTCTTAAAAAGTTAGGTTTAGAATACGAACATTTTGTTTTAGGGATACAGAGAGTATAAGCAAATGTGTAATTCGATTTCTAGGGATGGAGAGAATATAAACAAATATTAAAAATTATATTCTTAAAAAGTAAAGAATCTGCCCAAATGCGCGTGAAAAAAAAATAATAATAAAAATAAATAATAAAAAAAAAGTCAAAATCAATTAGGAAAGATCAGTTGAGTTCCTCTACGTATATCAAAAATACTGTACTATATTTGTTCTCTCTCTCGAATCTAGAGTTGACTTTCCTACGGCGGGAATTCCAAAGCGTTTGTGGTGGTGTCCTACCGAATTTTGATGATAACAAAGAGAGAAAGAGGGGATTTAACAGGTACCGTCGGCTTTGAAGCTCATGAATCATCTGTTGATGTTGTTCCTGCATCACAGACAACAAGAAGAAGTTTTGGGGTTTTGAGAAAATATATACATTTAAAAATTATATACCCACTTTGGAATACCCAATAATCTTTACATAGTAAGTCACTCATGCTCCTGTTTCATTTGTTTTTGTTCTTGGGTCATTTTCAATTTTTAGTTTTCTAGAATCTATTATTATTATTATTATTTTTTTAAAATTTAATTGTTGCTGAAACTAGAATCTTAAATAAGGGTTAAAAAAGTGCTATTTTGATTTGGAACTTGGGAGTGGAATGGCCTTCTTCAATCTATTGTGGATGAAATGAATTGGGTTGTTAATCTTTGTGTTATTTATTGTTGATTTTAGATTCTGTGGGAGAAAAAGAGAAAAACATCTTGGTAGAATCTATCAATTCTTCTTTTCATAGTTTTAAGCATATATATATATAATAGACGTGTGTTCCTTTTAGATTTCTTTGAAGTTTATTTGGGTCTGAATTGGTTCTTTGATTGCTTTTTATTTAGATTTTTATTGAAGATGCTTGGGAATCTGGAGAGATTAGGGTTTTACTTCATATTTGATTGTTTGGGAACCTAAACACTTCCAATATTCAGTTTTAAAGAAATATAAGAAATGGAAGGTGAAAATATCCCACCCAATACTGTTTCCGGCTATCTACCGGATTCCGCTATGGATTTCGATTTCATAGATGAACTTTTTTTAGAAGGATGTTGGTTGGGGGCAACTGATGGTTCCGAGTTTTTACATCACAGTCCCTCTACTTCCGGTGCTCTTTTTGACCCTTCATTGTTGTGGCATACTTCTGAAGCTAATAATGGTGTTTTGAGCACGAGCTCATTGCAAAGTGCCAGTCAAGAGGAGAGGCAAAGATCAGCTTTGTTAGAGAATCAATCTATTAGTGAATTCCTAGGAGAAAACCCTACTAAAACTCAGCTTCATAGCCAGAATATGAGTAATGTTGCAGGGTATTTAAGTCGATCTGAAAATTATATGGTTGAAGGTTCTGAGCTTAGCAGAAGGTGGTGGATTGGACCCCGAGCTAATCCAGGTCCATCATCTTCTGTAATGGAAAGACTGATTCGGGCAATTGGTTACATAAAAGAGTCTGCAAGAGACAGAGATGTGCTTATTCAAATATGGTTGCCAGTATATACTGGGGGTAGACGTGTTCTTACCACTAATGGTCAACCTTTCTCGCTTGATCTTAACTGCCCAAGGCTTGCTAGTTATAGAGACATCTCTGTCAATTACCAGTTCTCTGCTGAGAAGGATTCCAAGGAGATGGTCGGATTGCCAGGCCGGGTTTTCATGGGTAAGGTTCCGGAGTGGACTCCTGATGTGCGATTCTTTAGAAGTAATGAATTCCCGCGAGTTGGTCATGCTCAAAAGTTTGATATCCGTGGAACCCTTGCCGTTCCTGTATTCGAACAAGGTAGCCGCAATTGCTTGGGAGTTATCGAGGTTGCCATGACTATTGAGAAGATCAAGTATCATCCTGAGCTTGAAAGCATTTGCAAAGCGCTTGAAGTGAGTTCTCTATATTTAAGTTTTCCATTTTTTTTTAATTGGTTGCTCTCTTTTTTTATAGTTAAATCTCAGTTGTTAAGATTGGTAAAGCCTTTCCATTATAACCTAATTTTAATATGGCCATTGATGAAGATGTGTAAGAGGTTGGAATTGAGCCATCATGACTTTGCAAATATCCTGTATATTTTATAAGTGGAACTCTAGAGTCTTGGACATGAGGGCATACAATCAATACATGTGGTAACAATTATATTGTAATCAATGAACAAGCTTAATTCAAAAGAACCTCTGATTTGATGAAGCAAATTTGGGGTCATTCAATCTAAAAATTAAGAAATTCTTGACTTGCTCTAATCTTCATAGTGCCTACATGAGAACATACACAAGGTGCTCCAGAATTTCCTTGACTTGATGCTTAGTCCAACTTTAGGATTGAATCATGGAAAGAGGAGAAACAACTTACCCTTTTATCCTGTTGTTTAAATTCAGTCATAATTATTCTCCAAATGGAGCTGACGTATATAAATTATTAGTTTGTCAGGTATAATGCTATGGGATATTCCTGCCATTTGTAACAAGACAGTATCCTAATTGTAGTTTCCACTTTCCATTAGGGCTGCAAGTGAGCCGAGCCGAGCCAAGCCGAGTAAGGTCTTGTTCGAGCTCAGCTTGATCATGAAACTATAGTGCTCGAACTCGGCTCGAGCTCGACTCGAGCTCATTTGGTAGTGCTCAAGCCCGGCTCGTCCATTATTAATGAAGTTCGAGCTCGGCTTGATGGCTCGTTCAAGCTCGGCTTGAGATTGGTTATTTTCAAAATGGCCTTTAAAAATCAATTCAAGCAACCTTTTTTCTTTCATTCTGTTTTATTTTATTTTGGTGGGTAATATAAGTTTATTATAAAATGTAAATATAGTACAAATAAAAGTTTCATATTTCCATTTGCAAAACAATGAATAACATCAAATCTATTTTTTTTCTTTCCTAGTTGGTACGCACACATACATGTCTTTTCTGAGACTTGAACCCCTGACCTCCCTTTGGGAGGTAAGAGATTGATACCGCTAGGCCACTAACCCGTTGGTAATAACATCAAATCTAATTGATGTAAATATCTAAAATAAAAATATTAAGCAAAACTAAATACTACGTAAAACAAAATCATACCAAGAAACAATTCAGCACAATTATAGCCCAGAGCATACACCCCTAGCATTTCCTTACATATTAGAAAAGGAACATTACAAGTATTGGCATCCCCCTCTACATCATAACTGATTAACTTTGCAAAAATAATAATTTCCCTTCATTCAGAAGTACCAAAAAGTCTTCTAGCAAAAATCCTTCAACCTGCACGTTCAAAAAGTAAAAACCCTAACTCTTTCAAAGAAAAAAACAAAACTCCTAAAGTTATACATAAAGGTTTAATAGATGAAGAGATAAAACAAAAAAAATCAGCAAATCAGTAAGAATAAGATGTGTTTTCAAAACGAACAAAATCCTAACTTTTCAAAAGCAAAAACACCCAATTTATGTAAAGATATTTGAGAGAGAAGATAAAAGAAGTGAGGAAGTAAAAAAATCGACTTACAAAAAAGATGATCGGCGTTGTCGTGGGGCAAAGCAACCCAACCAGTTGTGTGAGTAGAGAAACTGAGAAAGTAAGATGAATCATGAATATGGGATCTATAAATGAGAATTGAAGAGTGAGGAGTGGGTTTTAATTTTGTTGTGTACCGGTGCATGTCACGTGGATAGTCAGACAGCCTAAGTTCTAGACTATGATGGCTATCGGCTGATGAGAAAAGGGTGTGCGGATCACATGGGTACTGGTGGCAGGCTGGCAGCAGGTTTGAAAAAGTTGAATTCTCCAAGTTTTAGACTAGGAAGTCTAGGATGGCTGTCAGCTGATGAGAAAAGGGCTATGTGGATCACATATGCGCATAGGTACTAGTGGCAGATTTCAAAAAACTTGAATACTTTTGTATATAAATTTATTGGTTGATGCAAACAAGACTTTGAATCACATAGGCAGAAGTTAGAAAAAGTTGAATACTTTTGTATATAAATAAATATATATATATATATACATACACTATATATATTATAATTGGGTATATTAGTGAACGCATTATCGAGCCCAGTTCGTTAACAGTTCATGAACAAAAGAGTCGAGTGTACTGATGTTCAGACTCGGCTCATTTATAAATCGAGCCTCATAATTCGGCTCGAGCTCGGTTCACGTATTAAATAAACAAGCTCGAGCCGAGTAATTAACGAGCCGAGCACCAGCCGTTTGCGAACGACTCGGCTCGGCTCGTTTGCAGCCTTACTTTCCATAGATGTATGCTAGCTCTACCTCATGGGATCAGGGAGGATCTTCCTGAAAATTCTTTAACTATTTTCCCCCACTCTTTCTCTTTTTTTCGGGTTAGTCACTCACACACACCCATTATTGTCCCATTGGAAACTTGAACCTTAAACCTTCCATTTGGAAGGAGGAGATACCACTCCTGCTAAGCCCTTGGTGGTAAATTATTAAGTTTTGGAATATTTTGCCATGTATCATTATGTGGCATCCATAGAGGTGGATATTTAAATGGGGGAGAAAAGCAAGAGAATGCATCTTAATATCAAAATGCAACCTGATCGTGATCTTCATCACTCCATGTTGTGCAGTTGTGGTGCTACCATAGGAGGTGTTAGTAGGGGGTCCTTTAAGGCTTATAAAAGAAACAAAAGATAAAGATCTCACACTTTCATGTTATACGTAGAAGAGTTTTATTGTGCATTCGTAGGAGCTATTTTACTAAAGAATGGGAAGGAGTTTTCACTCAAAATAGGGAATAAAGTATGCTACCTTTTCCAACGTTAAATTGGAAGGCATTCCTTGTACTTAAATCTATCAAGGGAAGTGGCAGAGCTGCTCTGTTGGAGGTAAATTATCTGTTATAATTTATGGTTTAGAACTTCAAGCTTTCTTTAGGGAACCTTTTACATGCGTACTCTTTTTTGAATCTTGATCAGTTAGGGTCTGCTTGGTTCAGTTTATGAGAATACTTTTCTGTTTTTTGAGAACTGAAAACCAGAAAACTGTATAAAAATCTGCTTGGTTGACAGTTTTTGAGAATTGTTTTCTGAAAACTCAGTTAAAAAGAGGCCTGAAAATCAGAGAACTGTTTTCCAAGTGACAAACCAAGCAAGTCATTATATCTTCGAGAAAGTGATTGAAGAGGGTAAGGATCTGACAGCCAATGATTTGCATTTATAAGTAAATTTGTGTCTTCAACTTAAGAGCAAAAGCAAGTAGAACTTACTTTATTGAAAATGCAAAATTAACCTATATTGCTTCTGAGAAAGTTCAAGATGAGGAAAATATTCGACGACAATTGACAAAAAGTCTTTTATAAGGACCATCCCAAACGCACTTAACTTCTTGTAAGAGGTAAAAATTAGTTTTAATTACTCCATACTTTCTCTTCTATGGCAGTAATGTGTATTTGAGTTATCTCTATTTTATATCCTCATTTATTTAAAAAATTCATCCATCTTTTGTTCTTTTCTTCCCATCAATATTTTTGCTTGGTTCACTTTTTAAATGCTTCCTTCTAAACTGAGGTTTTGCTTTCTACTTCTTTAGTGATTAAGCTGCTTTATATTTTTTTCTTTTTCAACATTTGGGTTTTTTCTGGTTCATGGAGGGATCTAATCGAAACATGAAAGACAATGAGAACTCATATTTCTCCCTATTTTCTGATTTAAAAAAACTTGTTTGCTTATAGGCATTTGATCTGAGGAGTTCTGAAGTTTCAAACACTCAAAAAGTCAAGGTATGGATAATAACATCTGCAACAAAAAATTAGTCCATAAACGGTCAAGACTTCTCTTCTTGGGGATAATGTATAGTACTCTTTTTTTTTTTTTTTTTTTTTTTTTTTTTTTTTATCAGGCATGCAATGGGTCCTACCAAGCTGCGCTACCTGAAATTCTAGAGGTGTTGAGATCTGCATGTGGGACACATCAATTGCCCTTGGCTCAGACGTGGGTTCCATGCATCCAACAATGTAAAGTGGGGCACCGGCACTCAGATGAGAACTATGTTTTTTGTGTTTCCACTGTGGATTCTGCTTGCTATGTAGCCAATCCCTGTATCCAGGGTTTTCACGAGGCTTGCTCTGAGCACCATCTGCTGAAAGGTCAAGGTGTTGCTGGGAAAGCATTCACAACTAACCAACCATGCTTCTCACCTGACATAACATCTTTTAGCAAGACAGAGTATCCCCTTTCTCACCATGCAAGGATGTTCGGGTTGCATGCTGCTGTTGCTATTCGCCTCCGGAGCATCGACACCTATACAGCTGACTTTGTCTTGGAGTTCTTCTTGCCCATGGATTGCAAGGACCCTGAAGAACAGAAGAAGATGCTCACTTCGTTGTCCCTTATTATACAGAAGTTTTGCTACAGTTTAAGGGTTGTCACTGACAAGGAGTTGGAGGAGGAAACTGTTTTGCCGAGTAGCCAAGTTAAATTCGCGTCAGATGGTAGATCCAGTACTAAACCAACCCCAACCCCAACCCCACAACACTTTCATTCAGAAAGGTCTTCTCAAGTCGCGTCATCCTGGAATGCCAGTCACATGGAGGTCCAAGGGAGTGTTAAAGTTGACCACTTATTTGGGAAGGAAGAAAGAAGGGAAGTGTTGATAAAGGAATCATCGGAATATAGGCAAAGTGAACATGATTCTAGTTTAAGAGCGAGTATTGCCTTTGGTGGAGATTATTCAACTCCTGATGAGGGTGGATTCTCAAGTATTGGTAAAAGAGGAAGGAAAAGAAGTACAAAAGTGGGGGAAAGTATCAACTTGCAAATGCTTCAGCAATATTTTGCCGGCAATCTCAAAGATGCTGCAAAGAGTATTGGTGGTAAGAACTGCTTATTGCAATTAATGGTTAATCTATTCCTCTCGTATAAAATTCATGAACCTTTGAACAGGAAAAAACATTGTATCAGTTGTCTTAATAAACACACACGTTTATTGAAAGAGTATATAATTGGTCGGAACACATGATTGTGGGGTTTGTCCAGTTTTGCTTGTTCAGAAAAGTGATCCTCTGCAAGTATATTTTCCAAGTACAATATTTTGATTGCATATGGACTTGTGAGCGAAAAAACATTTGCATAATTCTTCAGCCTGTTTGTTTTCTCTCTTTTCTGATTTGCTTATTTATTGATCTATTGGTATTATTATTATTTGTTTTCAGTTTGCCCCACTACTTTGAAAAGGATATGTAGGGAACAAGGAATACAACGTTGGCCTTCTCGGAAGATCAAGAAGGTCGGCCATTCCTTACAAAAACTCCAACATGTGATTAACACAGTTCAACGAGCCTCTGGTGCTTTTCAAATCGAATCCTTCTATTCGAATTTTCCAGAATTGGCATCTCCAAATTTATCTGGAAACCATCCATTCTCGAATTCAAAGCCATCTGGTCAAACACAGTCTTTAAACATGCTGCCTGAGAGTGGCAATTTTACCCCCCAAGCTGCTGCATCTAAATCACCTTCCCCTTCCCCTTCCTGCAGTCAGAGTTCCAGTTCAAGTCAATGTTGTTCCAGTGGGACGCGACAACATGCTTACACATCAGAACTTGCTGTTAGTGAAGACCGAATTGTCGAGAAAAAATCTGGTAATGTACTAAAAGGTGTCAGAAGTTGTGCAGAACTGCATAATTCAATTGAAGGAGGACCAAAGCTCCTACCAAGACGTCAGAGCCAGATTTCTCTTAGTGAGCACCCTAAATCTGAAAGTCTTCTGCCTTTACAAAAAAATAGTGGTGGGAAATCTCAAGAAACGGATTTTCACAGGGTAAAAGTTACATATGGAGAAGAAAAAATCCGTTTCCGAATTCAAAATGATTGGGGACACAAAGACTTGCTCCAGGAAATTGCGAGACGTTTTAATATAGATGACACAAGTGGGTGTCATCTCAAATACTTGGATGATGAGTCTGAGTGGGTCTTATTAACATGTGATACTGATCTGGAGGAGTGTATTGATTTATGCCAATCATCTCAGGGCCATACTATTAAGCTCTCTCTCCAAGTTTCTCAGCAACTTTCAGGAAGTTCTTTGGGCAGCAACGGTCTGTTGTGATTTCTGCAGAAAGTCTGTAGCTTGGAAATGGAAATTGACATCCTTCCATTACTTCAGCTCTCAGTGTTGAACCCTTAATGGGAGAAATGTGGTGCCTTGCATTGTAGATAAAAGATACAATGGCTGAATGGAATTTAACAAAAGGAAACACACCCTGATGCTTGCAAGTTGATCTTTTCCTTGGACTATCAGAAATTCTCTCGGGTTATTTTTGTGCGGTGTGTTCGGTGTTTCTTCCATCAATCATCCATATCTACACTGGATACCAACATATTGGCAGATTTGAAAAGAGGGGCACCAACTATTAATCAGCTATGAAGGTCAAAACATCGAATGCGCGGGTGCAGTTAGTCGAGGGGGAACTTGGATGGAGACCAGTTTAGTATCCTGATTAATGGGGTACAAGATACCAGCACATCCCGTGGACTGTAAAGAGAACAAGGCTGAGAATGAAGTTCCTACGTCACATTACCAGTCGGGTTCTGTGGGTAAAACTCTATATTATACTGTATAGCTTTGGTGAAAGAACTTCAGAATATGCTGTGGTGTCTCTGTTACTGTGATTTGTTTCGTGACTTGGCTTGACTATACAAGTTGATCATGAACTGCTTCACTTGGTGCAGGAAACCCAATTCATGAATGAAATGAATGTAAATTTTTTTCTTTGACCATTTTGAAGTTGATAATGGTTGTAGTGCCATAAACCGTAGGTATCTGATGGATGATGATGGGTTTGCATTTCTTGATTGACCATTGTTTAGGTTTTTGTAACTGTTTCATTTGATTTCTCCATCTTCAGTGTTCCCAAGTATCTCTGGTAAGAGCATGTGTTAGGGTTTCCATAATGCTCTTGCAATCCCAGAGGCCCTCTAAAATGCATTCACAGGAAAATTTCCCAATTTTCAAGCTACATTTGTACAACAGCTCGCAGAGGGCAAAGTAATGCAGTTATTACAGTTTTGCAGAGCTAATCTTTTTTTGCTTTTCGTAGTTTTGATGGGCTTCTCCCTTGAAAATGCTCGATTGGAAAATTGTAACTTCTTCTCTTCTTCGGAACAATAAGGACATTGCTGGAATTTTGTTAACATTGCAGAGTTGAATTTGTTGATTATCAATGCAATTCCAGCGAACACGCTACTAGCTAATATTGACCATTACAAATGAATCTAACTGCTTAAAATCATTTCAGACTCAGCTCGTGAGGCTCGATTAGTATTCAATCATTAAAATGAGTTCAACTCTAGTGTAAACCATGAACTTGTTTATGAGTAGGGATCCCAGCAATTATAAGCCTAAAATGAGCTGTAATGGATGGAACATTCATGGAGATGAACCCGTAAATGGTAATGTAAAAAACCAACAGCGGTAAAGAACCAACTCCTGATTCTATATTTCTATGCATACTTATGATTGTGAGAAATTCCAGGCTTGACTTTGTCGATATACCTATACATTCTTCATTTTTTTTTTTTTTTTTTTTTTTTTTCATAGAATGTATATTCATATTTTACAAAATGGAATACTATTTCAACGTGTTTTTCACTGATGATACATGGAATTGAGGCATTTGAACAGACAAAATTTAACCCTACAAGAAACAGCTCTTATGATGCACCAAATAGCTTATAGCTGTGATGAAGTAGATGGCCGATGTTCTTGCTTCTCAATGAGCAAGCATCTTGAAGGTGGACCAAACATGCTTAATAGTACCTGCAGGCACCAAAACCACGATTACTAACACGATTTATTCCACAACCAACCCCGTCAAATGTGGCACATTATAAGAAGCCAACATTGGCTTCATTTGCATGATAAAGTTACCATCACCACCATCATTTTTTATACGAAGTAACATCACCATTCTTATTCTTGTTATTGTTGTTTTTAGTCTCTGGTTTACTGATGAAAACAGAGAGAACTCGATACTAAATTTGAGGAAATAATGAAAAGGAAACCTATAAAACGAAGTCACATCATGAAAGCATTGTGTGGTTATCTATAACGGTGTGAATAAATAGAGAGATACACTTCTATATATGTTGCAAGTCCCCTTAAAATGTCAACTTTGTCAATAGTGTTGGTAAATTAACAGCTCAAAAGACTGCAGCGACTTGGTTGTGCGTCTATATTTTGACTTCCACATAAATGTTGATATTAACTAAACCTCGTCTTTAGAGGGGTGGACAAAAAAGTAGCCCATCTCTTTTCTGTTGCTTATGTACTTATTTGGTTATGAGATTCTATGTGAGCTCCCAGTTCTTAAGAGAAACACAAACTGATGCAGTGCGAGTATCAAGGAGGCGTATGTTCAAGTTAACTTACGGGTAAAAAAACTAGTCCATGCAAGAAACCTAGAAGAACTAATGCCAGGTACATCTGGAAGTAATAAACCTGCAAAACAAAGGGCATGATTTAGAATACCATGGCAAACTGGCCTATAAGACGAATTATTTTTTTGGGTAAGATCAGAGACCACAAAAACTTCTGTCCGTGAGAAGCAAAGAACAAGCACTCCAACTAGCTTTGTGAGAGTTATTCCACTGCAAAAGTACATCAGACAAATGAGTTTGTTACTTAAACTTTTCATGTTGACAGAAAAAGAAATTTACACACATATGAAGTAAGGACAAAGATGACATATATTTGCAGGTGACTCTGATTATTGCCCAAGGCATTGAACTCTATATGCTAGTTGCTAGAAGAATTTCGGCCATATGCTTGATGCATTAAATTTCAGTCCATCACAACATTACCTCGTTTACAAAATATATTACAAGGTATAATCAGCAAGGAACACATGAATCCACTGATGATCACATGTATATGAAAATATGATGGAAACTAAAATGATAAAAGTAAAAGAGAAAAGAAAGAGTGGGAACCTCATATAGAAGAGTGAAGGCATTAACTCTATTCAGTCAATTGGTAGAACTAAGCTATGATTTTCTTATCATGTGCTTATATAATGAATTAAATAAGTGCCTCTAAGAGCCTCTAAGAGCGTAGCTCTAGTGAATTTTCCTAGTCTTTTCAAGTGGAAGGTTGATGGTTCAAGTCTCCATGAGGGGCAATTTTGGGTGAAAATAAGAATTCTGTAAGTACATGGACTGTATTTGCATCTTCTAAGAATGGTGTACTTCCTAAATGTTCAACATTGAACATGACAATGGTCATTTTTTTTTTTTGCTTAGTTGGTACTCACAAACACATGCCTCCATGGAGGTTCGAATCCTGACCTCCCTTTGGGAAGTAGGGATCTGGTACCGCTAGGCCACTGGCCTGTTGGTACAATGGTCAAATTCTGTTTGTTGTTTCTAAGTAGTCATCCATTGCTCACTATACATACATATGGGGTCCAAACACACGTAAAAATAAAACTAAATGCTGCAAGGGTCTCATCATGGCAAACATATATGTGTTTGCCAGAGAAGAAAAAGAACCTGAAAACAGAAGCCCCCATTGTAGCCAGAGCCTCCTTTGTGCGCTGGTTTCTATCACCACCGGTTACCTGCATGAGAAATGCATAAGAACTCATCTAAACGTAAAAATTAAATAGTGAACCAAGATCCTCACATTTGAAAGAGATCTGGAACAACCAAACAATCATAAATTTACCAATGATGAACGTAAATACTTTTTCTCAAGAGGGAACATACCGGAAACCTGAATTTTAATTTGTACTCCCTTTGGAATGCTGCATTTACTTGATTACCATAAAATTGCCTGGTGCATCAATATTGTTTGTGCGGTTCAGAGTACTTTATTTTTATTTCTTTTTTCCTTGCATGGTGAGAATAATTATCCACCTTCCCTATTTATGCACAACTTTTTACTAGATGGCGGTTCTGGATCCATTTGTGATGCACCAGGAAAGATCATTGGTTAATAAACGGTAATGGACCGCACACACACAGAGTACATCTCTTTTAGTTGAAGTTTGCACATTTAATTTATTTTTAATAAATTCATCAAAAAAGAAAAGAAAAGAAAATGATACAACGTTGTCTAGTTTTAGATTTTCAGAATTGTAGCAAAAATTGTGTAATCTTGTCAATTAGCCGTTGGAATTTGGAAATGTCTTCTTCAGGATAGTCTGAAGATCAATTATGAGACAAAAGATGTGAAAACATAGAATACTGACCGAGAAAGTATGGGTAATATGCACACAAAACTCAACAGCAATGCCCACTGCCATTACAAGGTTAACAACGGACACTGCATTCAGCTGGATATTCAGAATCGCCATTACACCCTGCAGATTTTCGTCTTATAAGCAGAAACAACAAGCAAATTGGCAAGCATAATATATTATCAACCATAGAGCATGAGGTAAAATTATCACTTCAAATGTTAAAGATTTCATAATTACCATTGTGGAAGAAAACATACCAGTAGATCCACAACAATCATCACCAACACAAGTAAAATGATTGCTGAACTCCATAAACTGCATTTGAAAATGCAAAGAAAAAAAAAATTTAACATTTTCTAATTTGAAAAGGAACACTACTTCATTTAGTATCAAGATAAAAATCACAAACGAGGGAAAAAGGAGATACTGACCTACATGTAATAACTAAGCAAACAACAAATACAGCACCTGTTAAATCATCAAAGAGATCTTATCAGTGCTTTTAAAGCTGTGAACATAAAATGCACATCTATACTGGTATTTTCAAAGATTATCTTTTAGTTATTATTGTTATTATTATTTTGGATAGGTAAGTAACACACTCACAAGTTGCCCCATGTGGAACTCAAACCACTCACCTCCCCTTTGGGGGATGAAAACTCATACCAGCTGGGGCCAATGACCCGCCCAGTAAGTTCAAAGGTGGCTTAGTATTACTAGAAAGTAGAAATTAAACCATTTTAAAGAGGGATAGTTACGGGCTGGAGTTTAAACCTGTCTCTTTGAGTAATGTGGAGCCATGAATCTATGATATAGTTGAAATCCATAGATTCAAGGCTCGGCACTGGGATTCATTTGGTTTTTTACTTGGATTTATTTTTGAGGTCTGCAGCTACATAATTGTAATACAGACCTTTGAACAATGTTCCAAGAAAATGAAGTATTATATGGTGTTTGAAAGAGAGAATTATAAGCTGTAGCACCACCTTAACAGAGAGCTAATCCTACGGGAATACTTGTATAAACATGAAATATTTTAAGCCCACTAATGTATAGTTCCACATAAATATGAAATATAGGGATCCCTAGTTTATGCCTATGCGATAGAGTAGATCCTGTTGAAAAAGGGATCCTATAAATTGGCATCAAGCCCATCAAGAAACTAATGCACAGCATCTGAAAAACCAATAGCATGCGTAAAATAAAACGTATAACGAACAATAATCCCAGAGAAAGATAAAGAAAAAGAGATCTGAGTTTTAAGCCTTAAGTAAGAGAACAATTTCAAATAAATTTTTTCCTAACCCAATTTCAAATAATTACAAATTAAGCTTCATCAATTCTGATAATCTCGGAACAAATGTCTATAAGAAAGTGCACCTATGCGTGTCAACATTTGGGCATTAAAGGATTCACAAAAATTACTAACCAATAGCTATGGCAAGGTTGATCAACGCTGTCCTCCATATGTCAAGGTATTGCTCAAAGAACATATAAAACACTGAATATGGGAAGATTTCAATCTGCATTGAAAAAGAAATGTCAAGCAGCTGACACAGCATGAAAATTACACAGCTTTCTGCAGTAATTTTGCTCAAAAAACATTACAAGGAAAGGTTCGAGTTATTATTGTTTATCATAGGTCAATATAATGTAAAGAGCATAAAAAGAAATTCCTTGATTCAAAGGTTATGTTGCACAATAGGAAGCACCATTTGCTTATACTCAACCAATGGATAAGAGACTCTTGTACAGAATCAAACTCGACACCTTTGGCTATGAATTAATTTAAAGGGAACATAACTTGACATTATGGTCATCCAGTTAGTGGGTTTAAAAAGAAAAATTATTCTCTTTCAATGTATAACTACAAATTCTAAAAATGAAGTGAATACTCCGTAATTACAATATGGCTCAAGTTACGTTCTTACTTCACTTAAGGAAGGTGCTATGATGCTTGGTGCAATTGAGAAAGTCATCTCATTAAACTTTCAGAGGTTCCCTTTTATTCAGACCCAAAAAAATGAGTTCGGTGGTACAAACAAAGTTCTATTTTTTCCTTTTCAAAGTGTGTGTGTGTGTGTGAGAGAGAGAGAGAGAGAGATGACCAATGACTATGACTTATGGACAGAAGCAGTAAGTTGATAGTGGGGAGGTTGTCATAGGCCATATTGCCATGCAGTTCTATAAGACGTACTCAAGGAAGCATTCTTTTCTACAAAAAATAGTCACCCTCCATCTTTTGGTATACCAAATGGTATGGTCAAAGCCAGGAATTCACTTGAGGAGGAGGAGAGGAGGGAGGGGGGTTGGTTACATTGAAGAACAACAAGATAAAAAAACTTTTGAACAAAATAATAATAAACATAAGATCTTAATATTGATTATTCCTTTAATATTACTATTATGGTTATTTAGAATATATCAAAGCTTGTAAACAAAAGAAAAGCATTCCAATAATTATTTGTTTTCGTGTCTGTAGATACCTTCAAAGAATCAGAAATCCTAGAAGTGAATTCTCGAGCAGCCCTCATGGAGTTGACATAGTCAACCTGAAATCATAGCAGCATAAAAAATTAGGCATTTTTTATACAAGATAAAAAGGTCACCATAACTAATAGTTACGACTATAGATGCACTGTCTTACTTGCTTGTTGAGAGGCGTGTGATATGTACGGAATGATGATGCTTGAATAAAACCATCCTCATACCCTGATAACAAAATGCAAGCAATTACTCCCAACTTTGAATTGCAAGCAACAAATTAAGGGAAAGGAGCTACACAATTACTTGCCATACTCAAATTATGCATGCAAACAAATAAGTATAAACTCTTACTGACCTTTAAGCTCCACACTGCCAGTGTAAGCCCCATGACCACCTTTTGCACAATCGGCAGAGGGTAGAGCATCGAGGAACCATGGAAGTTTCTCCCTAAATTGTGCTGTAGATGGACGATCATTATGCAAATCTGAGTGACGGAAACACTGAAAAATTCCAAAAGTGATAGTTGTAAATTCCCACTACTTTTGACTTCCTAATTGATGTAAATTGGGGGTGGGGGGGAGAAGGATCTACACAAAAACCCGCACACTAATTGGAACTGATGGACACCCTTCCCTTCACAATTCAGAAAATATTAACTGTATTACCAAAAAAAGACCCAAATAATTTTTAATTCTGCAGAAAAATTTCATGCTGCAAATTTAAGAAAGGTTAATTACCGTGGTACAATCTTTGCATACTCCACCAAGGCCACAAGAACCATCATTAGATGAACAACAAGGAGGCTGAAATGAAATTCTATGTGCTTCAGTAATGATATAAAATTAGAGAAAATAATAAGAATAAAGTTAAATGTTAAAATTTTCTACTATATCTTTAGAATTGAGTATTGTTATTGTAAGTCATCACAAAAAAAAAATAATAAATAAATAAATAAAAATGAAGAAGAAGAAGAAGAAGAAGAAAAACAATGGTAAATGACCAAGACATAATGTTTCAGGGAAAAAAGAAAGAAAATGAATTGAATTGATGGTTATAAAAAGTTAAAGTAATTGCAATGTTAACGCTACTCTACATGAAACTTCTAGTATAAGTAACTTTCCAATATCAAAATTTTAGGAGTTTAAAATGAACTAATAAATTTGAAACCAGGATATTCCAGTGACGAGTAAATCATGCAAACAAGGAATACATAATTTTTTATTGAAAAGTTAAACATAAATGGGAAAGAACATATTACTAAACAGATTTTTTTTTTTTTTTTTTTCACATGTCAAAAGAAATTCAATGTGACAAAGACAATTCGTTTGACCTGATCATCAGGTGGACAATAACTCTCATTCGTGAACTTCCTACAACAACCAAAAGCTTCTGGAGAAATCCACACAAGAAAATCATCAAGCCATGAAGCAGCAGGTTTAGCAATGTAACTAGACTCTGGAATGAGAGATGCTCTTGCAATCTGCAGAAGAGAGAACTCACAAGTCAAGGAAGAAAAAAGGCAGAGAGAGATAAAAGAGAAATCAACTATTGGAGCAACCTGAGACAAAAGAGGGAAAATCTTATAAAGTGGAGTATATGCTAATTGCTTAATGAACACTTAAGATTTAAGGCTGTTGATGAAAGAACAAAGCAATCCTTGTAAACCAACCTTCTCAATGATCTTAACCTTATGCAAACAATCTTCATGGATATAAAAATTCATTCTACTTGATCGGTCACAGAATATGAAGGTAATGAATTCTCCAACATTTGAAATTATCAGTCATATCCACACATAATGATGTAACCTTTTATAAGACATATTCAATTTAATTATCAGGCATATTCAATTTAATTACTTCTCAATGATGTGACATTTTATAAGACTTCACATGCTAATCATTACATATATCCAGTAGTGACTTCAATAAATTTGATTAACGAAATATAAGAAAAGAAAATAAGCCCACTATATAATAGTTTAACACAATACTTCAAGAAAAACGTAATGAAATTCAGTGCTATTTCACATTTGATTTCTAGAAAATGTAAATGGAAATATGTTATAAAATTTTGTACTTTCCAGATTAATTTTCCCAAATATATTTGTGTGTGTAGGATAAAGAATGTATCTCAAAGATCCTGAAACATCACATAAGCATCGGGAAATGTGTTGGATCAACTATTACCATACTGACATTAAAAAAATGTATTCTCCTAAGGAATATCTAAGTTTCTAAGAGTTAAGAGTGTGGAAATGGTGTGCTTGACTCTCAGATGTAGAAGGGTAACAAATAGGTCTAGTTCACTATTTTCACTTAATTTAAACTTAGATCAATTTTTAAGTCCACAACCACACAATTAAGCAAGTAAAACAATATTTAAAACAGTGAAATAAGAAAATCCAAAATAAAAAAGAAGCTAATACACTGATTTTTTACGTGGAAAACCCAGACATGAAAAACCATGGATCCGGGGGGTGAAACTACTTGGAGACATGGCCCTCCAAATTTTTTTCAAAATTCCTAAAATAATAGGGGGTAGGCTTCAAAATGCTAAAAAGATTTAACATGAATTCCACCAAAACTAACAAATAACCTCAATTTGAGCCCTTCTATGTCTTGTATATGGAAGACACAATTTCCTTTAAAGGAAATGTGAAAAAATTTCCATATATAACACTCATCCTCATTCTTCTGATCTTCTCATTTTATGCACTTAGTGGGTTATGAAATATTTTTGTACTCAATGATCTTAGATACACTCTCTAAGAATTTTATTGTTAAAAAACATATAGTTTATAATTTATTAAATATTATTTTCATAATATTGATCCGAACCATCAAGTGTTATTTGTTGATGTTATTGTTTTGATTGATGAGACTTGAAAAGGAGTTAATGCCAAATTGGAGGTGTGGAGATAAGTTCTAGAATTAAAAGAGTTTAAGACAAGTAGAAATAAAACTGAATATGTGGAATGCAGTTTTAATAAATCTAGAAATACAAATGAGGATGTAGTGAAGATTGAGGATCAAAAGGTCCAAAAAACTGAACATTTTCGTTATTTAGGCTGAATTATCCATAATGAAAGTGAAATTAGAGATGATATTACTAATAGAACCAAGGCAGGATGGGTTAAATGGAGGAGTGCATCTAGTATATTGTGTGATCAGTGTATTCCATTAAAATTAAAGAGAAGTTCTACAGACCAACTATTAGACCAGCCATACTATATGGGACAGAATGTTGGCTGTTGGGATACTATGAAACATGTGAATGTTGAGATGGATATGTGACAAGATAAGAAACGATAATATTAGAAATGAACACATTCATGAGATGGTTGAGGTAGCACCAATTGGAGATAAAATGAGAATCGGTTAAGATGATTTGACATGTGCAAAGAAGACCTTTAAGTGCACCAATTAATAAAGATGCTAGGGGAAGGGGAAGACCAAAGTTAACGTAGGTAGAGTTAGTAAGGAAGGAAGGATGTGATAATACATGATTTAACTGAGATTATGGCCTTAAATCGAATGGAATGGAAAAGTAGGATTCATGTAGCCGACCCCAATTAGTTTGGGGAAAAGGCTTAATTTGTTATTCTTGTTGTAGATTAGACCCCCAAGTAGAAGTTAGCCATCGCAGGGAAACTAATCCAGTATAATGAGAAAGAATAACATAATTTCCATGAGTCCAAATGCTAGTGCTTTGAGGAAAATGCTCAGTACTCTCTAATTTGCAGTCCAGACTCCAGTGCCTTTGAAATCCCCAGCAACACCAATCTGCTTCACAATCAGCTCACGATGATCCGCTTCGAGTGGTGATCGATCATTGATACTCTCCACAAATTGATGCGAAGAATTGATGTCGATCCAGTTGCTCTGACAATGTTTTATGGCTCAAGGCACTCTAAACTCACAATAGGGGAATCACACCACAAGTTGACCCTCATGTAAACTATAACTTGCAGAGAATCAAAAGCAAGCTCTACAAGAAAATAAAGTTCTCAAAATGCTCAAAATCTCAAATTTTACATTTAGGTGCTAAGATTGTGAGCAAAAACCCTAAAGTTTGTATTGCAAAACCCTTTAAAAAGATTTAGAAAACTTTTCATAAAGAGTTTTGAAATGCGCAAGTTTAGAATGAGAAACACAATTCCTTCTAGGAAAACTTGCACGGTGCACATCAAAATATGTACAGGTGCATGTATCGTCTGGTACACATGGACCAGTGCATGTCAAAATAATGTAACGATGCATTGCCTCCAAATCTTCCAGACTAAAAACACTCGCATTCGGGCATTCATGCTCTTGGACCGGTGCAAGACACACTTTCTATTCCAAAACCCTACAAGAACACTTTCGTGTCCTCAAAAACCCTCAATTATCTGTTCCTCATGTGTGTGTTCATTCTGATGAAGCTCAGTCACATTGATCATGAACATGATTGAATTTAGAAGCTCTCGATCAGGATTCAAATCATGAAATAAAAATTCACAACTTATTTGTTTTATATCTACATCATCGTTGTTGTCGTCATCATCCTTGCCTTATTCCCATATGAATAAGATCGGCCACACGAATTATCTGTCTCTATTCCCTTCTATTACCTGCCATATCACATATATATTTAACTTTTAAAGTCATTTCTAATAACTTCATCCCACGTTATTTTTGGTCTCCCTCTCTGACTCTTTCCTTCTATGGAAATTAAATTTCCTCTTCTCACCCATCTATACGTCTCCGGTGTATGTGCCCAAACCACCTAAGTCTACTCTCTTATTTTCTCGTTGATGGGTGCCACAACTAATTTTTCTCTTACACTTCCATTTGTGACCCTATCTCTTCTAGTCACTCCAACCATCCACCTTAACAGTCTCGTTTTCGCTACATGAAGACATTCTTATTTCTTTTTTAAAGCCCAATACTTTGCTCCATAAAGCATAGTTGGCCAAATAACGGTCCTATAGAAATTTTCTTTTAACCTATGTGTTATTCTTTTAATTATATCACTATCTATCTCTCCATCCTTTTGTATTATTGATCCTAAATAGCTGAAGTGATTATTTTGAGTAGTCTTCTGGTTATCTAGTCTTATCAGTATATTATCAAGAGTCTGAACTTGAACTTAAGGAAGACCTCCGTGACAACTCTGGTGAACCAACCCCATTCGTAATTCCATCAATTATAGTCTTTATTAAATTTACCTTCCATATATTCCGTTTTAGTTCAACCAATTCTCAATCCCGTTGATTTTAAAGTAACAATTCTTATTTTCTCGTTGATGGGTGCCACAACTAATTTTTCTCTTACACTTTCATTTGTGACCCTATCTCTTCTAGTCACTCCAACCATCCACCTTAACATTGTCATTTTTACTACATGAAGACGTTCTTGTTTCTTTTTTAAAGCCCAACACTTTGTTCCATAAAGCATAGTTGGCCAAATAACGGTCCTATAGAAATTTCTTTTAACCTATGTATTATTCTTTTAATTATATCACTATCTATATCTCCATCCTTTTGAATTATTGATCCTAAATACTGGAAGTGATTATTTTGAGTAGTCTTCTGGTTATCTAGTCTTATCAGTATATTATCAGGAGTCTGAGTCTTTATTAAATTTACCTTCCATATATTCCGTTTTAGTTCGACCAATTCTCAATCCTTTTGATTTTAAAGTAACAATTAATATTTGGCATCATCTTCTCAATGATTTCTACCACATGCTTTGGAATTTATCACATAGCTGACAATAACCTTGGGTTGGAATAGGTAGTGGGAGGAACGAGGCCTAAAATCAATAATTCAGACACGCTCAGAATTGGGAAAAGTGAGCTCGCACAAACTCAAGTTCAAGCTCCCTAATTCCCCTTTCTTTTCGAAAATAAAAAAAGTACACTCAAGTTCAAGAACTCTAATTACAATAAGCAGCCAGGTTTTATATAATAACCAAGTTCAACAAACTATTTTACAGTGATGTAGCCTCAAAATACAACATACATGTAACATTTTACAAAAGGCCTTGTTTTAGGGTGTAACAAAAGGGAACTAGTACTCTTAAATCTTTACCAAAAGGGAAAATAATTTTGTACCTCATTTAAAAGAGAGTTTGAATCACATTGGCTAATGGAGCACAACTGATTGGTGTGTCTTGATTCTGAGCTGAGGAAGTAGAGAAAAATCAGCATGGAGAACATGAAATCCTTTAAACTTGGTACATTAAGTTGAAGACAGACTTCAATAATGATGGACAGTTCTAATATAGCTGTCACAAAATAAACCTCTGATACTTCAGAGAGGCAGTGTTACCCGCTGGTATATCATGGCATTAGGCTCTTGAACATGTAGCATAGGCTAGTAATGTTTTCTTGTCCACTTATTAGTATGCAAACCGAGGTATGTTGACTCAAGAAACAGATAAGCAACATTTAATAAGAGCATAATTACTGTATTAATATCATTTTGTAGCAAACCATAGTTGTCATTCAGAACATTAGATAAGAATTAAAAACATTAAGTACTTATTGAGACATCACTGATTCGTTTAACTGATTAATTTAGGTCCCTGGCATGTACAAGTGACAGTTCCCTTTTCCTTCTAAAAAATATTAAAGATCTGTGGGGATACAAAATTTATGAACATGTAAAATAAGTAATATTGCACTTAAATATATAGAGAAATTGGACCCTAAAAAGAAAATGAAGAAGGTCAATCTTCGATATTTTATTGAAGTTCTGCTCATGCATTAGTGTTCACATCATTGTAGAAGTTAACATGAATTTGAGATAAAACTTTAGAAGTTCGATAAAAATTAGTATTGTCTTAAAATGCCAAATTGTGGTTCATAAAAATGTGTAACATATAGCAGCAAGTGGATATGAGAGCTGTCTAGTGAGCACTAAGCAGATTAAAACCAACCACCAGTAGGATACAATTTTAGCTTAACATTTACATGCAATTTCTTAAATTCTTGTTGGATGTCCATGTATATTTTGAATTTTTTAATATTATTGTCAAATATCCTCCAATTATACTCCTAGATATATTTAAAAAATAAATAAATAAATTGAGCAGTCAAGTTTGTATTGTGAACTGCATCACATGCAGTTAAATATCTTATCAGTGCTCACTAGCGGCAGGCAAAACCATACTTTAGTACAGCAAGGGGAAAATCAGCATGTATAATATAACATACATGTGCATGAACAGAAACATTCATGAACACAGAAATTTGGTGTCAATAAGCAAGAAGGGAAATAAAATGACACCATGGTACCTATAATTATAGTTTTTCACAACAAAGTATAGTGGCGGCCCAATTCTGAGATATTCCGAAACATTATTGAAATAACCCTGCAGGAAAATGAATGCTGGGGGTAAATACCATGTTATGAGAACACTACATCATATGTCTATTACATGAAAACAACAGAGAGCACGATGTAAAACCTGAAGATAGGAGTCTCGAGGAAGAACAATTTTTTGTTCTAAACCAGGTTGAATCCTCGTACATAATGCCTGTGAGGAACAAAGGAGAGAGAGAGAGAGAGAGAGAGAGAGAAGATGAAAGAAGCATATCAAGGAAAATAAATTCAGTCAGCACCTAACATAATAACAAGAAAATAGGAACATAACTAAAGCAACTTACTATGCTAGCCATCGTAAAACCAGCAAAGACAGAAAGGACAGCGACTTTAACTCCCCAAATACCCAAAATGGGTGCATGAATCTCCTGTAGAAACAAAATGAAAACCAATCGGTTAAGAAAATGAAGGTAAGCAAATACACACTTGCAGGAGTTCGATGAAATAGTCTTAAGCAAGCATAAACATAAAGATTGTAAAACAAGTTACCGATGAGTTTAATGGAAACCATTAGCCTCAGAGGTAGGTGAGTCTTTAATTATTCACAAGGGAAAGTATACATTGGAGGGACACTTATAAATGATCCCCCATCAAAAATAAGAAGAAAAGTGAAAAGAAATTTTTTCACACGACACACCTCAAAACTCAGTACCGTACAAGCAATAGAAGTAACTTGGCCAGCAAATTCAATGGCTGTGGTTGATATTTTTTATTTTTCCTTTTTCCATGGAAATATAGAAGATATTGTCTAGCCAACCAAAAGAAATTAAGATTTAAGGATTTGTAAAGACTTTGGAAAATGTCAATACCAAGCATGCTTATCAACAAAAATATGATGACATGACAGAAAATGTGCAGGTTAGCTAGGTAACACAATCCCTGCATATTAGATCAGCAAATAATTAATTTTTTGTTGTACAATGCACCAAACTTTACTAGTTCAACTAGCCAGATTTTATTTATTGTCTAGTCAATAAATAAATTTCAACGGTAACAATTGTCCTCAAAATTTCAAGCCAAGATGCACAATATTATAAACAGAACTCTAAAGGCTAAAACTTTTAGTGTGAGGCTCGTATATGGCACATGTTCATGCTAATTGAAAATTGTATTCTTGTTCCGAACTTTTCCGGCTATGTTTTTTTAACACAAAAACTTCCCCTGAAATACATAAATGTTGGAAAATTTAACAATAATATGATAACACTTAATCAGATGACAAAATGTACATCATGTGATCACTTGTGTATGAAAGATCTAAATTATAATTCAGAGGCATGATGCTAGACATATAAAGTAGAAAAAAAACCATACCACTCCTTTGCTTCACATTACACTTGTTCAAATTACCAAGATATGCAATTACCATGTTCAAAGTACTAAGATGTATGTTTCAAAAAATATGCACAGGTTTCTCGTTTTTTTTAAGCTAAAAAAATATATATATCTAGGTACTAGTATACGAAGTTTAGTAGTCATCCTCACCAGTGTTTATTGTCTAAGTAATTTGTCCAACAGATTGCTATTTCTTGCATGCTGCAGATTAGGTGGTAAGACAAGTAAAGGAAAATCCACCGTTTGGTAAGTCTGTAATCCAATTTACTGTGTTATATTTTGTGAACTAGATAATTAACAAATTTAAAAGCATCACCAAATTTCCAATTATAACTAATTGCTTGTCCATATTTGTACTTCACTCCTAAATATCAAGAGAGGCACTTCTCTCTCACTTCCGCTAATAACTCCTATTAGAATAAGACGTCAACACTTCATTTCTAACTCCGTACATTCTTCTTAAGTTTTACCAGGCAGTTTTCTAAGTGCTTTAGGTTGAACAAAATATTATTACCTTCATGTATCGAGACAGTAATCCAGGTTTTCTCTGGCCGATGCCTACACATTAAAGAAAAATTCTTCAGTCAGCTTCCATGTATAGATTACAAAATGAAATGAAAGATAAAAATGGAAGTATCCAGCAACGTAGGTACCTTGATCAGGGTCAGGGTATGATCCAGATATTCTTAGACAAGGAAAACAATCAACCCTCTTATCTTCGGCTCTCATAAAATCAAATACTATCAACGCAACAAAAGCAGTGATTTGCAGAAGAAAGTCCAAGAGAACAGCCAATGCTGCAAGACAATGTGCAGTGGAGGTCAACTGATAAGGCTATAATGAACATGATAAGAATTAGAATAATAATAATACAACAAAAGTATCATTATTATCAATATAACTTATGCTACTATCGGAAGGTCACTTGGTTAAGATAGAGAGCAATTTCCTTACCTGCAAACAAGGAGAACACACGACATGCTGGCATAGGAATAAAACTTCCTACAGCAAACGCTAAAAACTCGGATAGACTGGCTAGTGTTATTGATGGTCCTACCTCTACAAGTGCATTACTTACACGTCCTTCTATTGGCAGCTCCAATGGCTGCCGCTTAACAGCATGTACCAGTATACACATGTTGTCCACGCCAACCTGATACGAAACAGAAAAATTCAGAAAACTCTGAGCTACATGGAAACTAGGAACAACGTTATCTAAAAACATTGATGCAAAGAACCACCATTTTCCAATAAAGTACAATCTAAGGGACATATTCAGTGGCAGTCCACCCAATAAAAGATGTAAACCTTTAAAAGCAAATCTAAGAAAGGGCTAGTCCAGTGCACAAGTCTCCCGCCATTGCGGGGTCTTGGGAGGGTAAGATAAACGCGGCCTTACCCCCGCATGCTAGGCTGTTTCACATTTTGAACCCGTGACCTCCAGGTCACAGTGGAGCAACATTACCGTTGCACCAATGCCCAAACTCTTTTAAAAGCAAATGTATATTCTAAAATATTTGAAAATCAAATAAGAATGCTGCAACTGAGACACGCTTTAAAATCAATTGTATTGTCTTTACAAACAATACAATTACCTCCATCCTATGAAGCATGGACATAAAATGGGACAGTCTCACTCCAACACAGTAAATCTTAAAAAGGTAAGACAGTCACAATGAAACACAACAACAATTTAGTTTTTCGTTTTGAAGAATAAAAATAATATTATATGCAACATTACTTTATGATATGTAAAATCCAACATTCTGACTACTGAATTTGTAATTAACAAATCATATTTTTTAGTCAATGATCTCCTTATCGCATTAGCAATGAGCCAAAAGAATAAAATATTTTTTTTTGTATGTATATGTATCTGCATATTATATGTACATACAATACTGACTCCTCTCCTACTCACATTCCCACTTTAATGATAAAATTTCTATATCTGCTACTTTCTGGCTTTTTTAACCATGGTTGAACTTTATACATATTTTATATAGACCTTCAATTTTATTTTTCATGTAATTCTACTTTTCTCAATGCTACAAAAAAGTCATATCCAACTTCCTAAGCTCCTCGATCACATACTGACAAGTGTCCTGAGGTGTCATCCATGTGTCCAAAATTAAGAATTTGTTTGAGAAAATGTCCACGCTTCTTAGCCTCCTCCTCCTTCCCTCCATTGATACCAACAAGATTTTGTTTCAATGTAAGAATAATGATAACATTTAGGGTCCTCGGCCATTGTTTGTTTACGCTAGCCAACTCAGTTGATGAATAGGATCCTTAGTCACCTTCAGTGAACTCAGTGATACATACCAAGTTTTATGCATTGGAACAGGTTGTAGCAGTGAAAATGGAGTTACATGATGTTGCCTTGGATTGATTATCCATGCATTAAGTTGTGCTAATGATTAGTAGCCTCACCCACCAACACAAAGGCCTTGTCAACACTCTCATGATCATCATGTCATCATCAGACCATAATGTTGAGTCATCAGCCACTCACCGTGTTTGTCTATGTATATTGCTAGCGTTCATTATTGCCTTTCAGGAGTCATCATGTTTGAACTTGTATCATAATAGACTGTGTTAACTTAATTATTCCCCGCTTGTTTGGCTACCAAGAATGGTTATCAGTACTTTGCTCCAGTAGGTGTCATTAGTTTGTCACCACTCAAGTCAACATTTTGGAATTAACTATTGCTCATTCCTCCTATTGCATATTTGAAAACTATAACCATTCAGTATCCACTCACAGTAGGTTGTCACCCCACATCTACCAGAGTTGCAGGTTACCAACAACCAGATCCGTCACCAACCACTTATATAAGTGAACATCATACTAAGTTCATGAGCACTTGGTTTTTTTTCTTTTTCCTCCCAGAACTGGCATCTAATTGAACTACATGATCACCTTAATAATCTGAATTAGAAACACATGGCCCTGTTTAGTGCCATGCGAGTCCAAATCTAAGGGTAGTCACTTTCCGCAAATAAAAATTGGAGGTTAGGTCTGCTTTAGGTCTATCCTATCCAAAACCAATGGGTAATGACTTTTAGTCGTGTGACATGTTGAAAGACTTCCACAACAATACAAGTGAAGAAGCTTAGATTTAAGTAGTACAGATCTATTTCATTCCATGAATTCTACGCTTTTTATCATGTTTACATTTCTTAGAAACAAATGTATAAAATTTAAACTAATGATTACAGAATTTTAGGAGAATTCCAAGGCACTTTGATTTTTAGTTGGTGGCTTGTCATGTGAATGGTAATAATAGCTCTAGAACAATAAATTTGAAATTTTGAGCGTATTGTATCTGAAAAGATTTTGTTTTAGTTGTACGTGTTTCCAACCTTCTACCAACAATTTTACATTATAAATGTTGCATCTTTAGACAAATCTGTTTACTCTTCCTTTTTAGCAAATGGGAACTCACTCCTGAAATGACACTTCAAACTAAGTTAGCATTATATTTTTATTATTAGCATTATAAGGTTATATATAAAATCGCTCAAATAATTACAGCAGAATATCTGATATTTTTCTTAATATAGATATTGCAGAAATTAAATTTTAACCAAAACAAAACAAATGCTCCAAGTCTAAAACATATATGTTGCATCAGTAAGACCATACCTAAAGTCTACCCAAAAATTAAAACAAAAAAACAAATTGAACTTACAGCCAAAACCAGAAAAGGTATGACTTCCATTATGATGAGCGTAGATTTTATTCCGATTGCACTGAAAAAACCAACTGATCCTAGAACAGAGAGCATGACAAGCATAACTCCTGAAAGACCGAGCAATACCTGTATCCCAATCAGTGATACAATTTAGACATGATAAAATAAATAAATATAAAATATAATATAATAAGGTCAACTTTATAGATGCAAAAAAAAAAATCAAAAAACAATTATACATTGGCCAAAATCTTGAAAAGATCCTATGGAATAGGAAAAAAACTTAATTGAGCCGGTTGTAGTGATGACATGGTATCACCAGCTTATTAAATACTACCATGTAGTGATAGGACCCACTAAAATAAAGCATTTTACTTATGTGACATGATATAATTGGTTGATGGCACATATAACAAAGTATTAAAGGTGCAGGGAAGTCTTTCTCGTGGAATAGATGACGTTGAAAGAATCATTTTCTGTGAAGCAATGCACAAACAAAACGATCTCTGGATTATATGTCCAAGGGCTCATCATAGAAATATCAATCTCACTGCCATAAAAGAGAAAGAGGGAAGACTTTGACCCCAAAACTGAAGGTTCATTCTCTCAACAAAGAAACAACTAAAAGATACATTTTATTTTAAAAATGTCAATTCATATTTCACGCAGTCATCAAGGTGCATACTTTAAAATAAAATAAAACAAAATAAATAAATAAAATCCTTTAAAAAAAGCAGAAAATGGAAAAAAAGGTATAGGCTTGCTAACCACAATTAAGAAGCTTTTACAAGTTCAGATCTTATTGTCTTGAACAAATTATAACTATAAACCTTTCAATTTTCAAATATTAATAGAAATAATTTGTGGGCCATAATCTAGCATATGAAGCCCAAGATAAAATATAGATCTTCGAAAACATAAGCTTGAAAACATGAATGGGACCATACCTTGGATGAAATATAAAAGGAGGTAAAACGAGGTGTATCGCCCAAAGTCAAAGATATGTAAGCAAACATCACAAGATAGCTTATCTGAAACAAAATTAGGCAGCAAAGGAAACAAAACCAAGAGATTAACAGAGATTCACTCATTAAAATCAAAGCAAATTGAAACATTCAGTGGAACAAATATGGTTAAAATCATGATCAAGTGTTTCTTTGATCACAAGAAGGAAACAGACTTCCAGACATGTCCGTGAGGAATATGCAAATGTGGGAGAGAGAGAGATTCAAGTCTCACCAATATAGTTATAGCATCTGCAGTACTTTCTCTTTTTAGTTCTTCCTCAATGGAGCTTTCAGATGAAAAGGAAAGTGTTAAGTTTTTAGATTGTACCATTGGCAAGAGCTCATCCTGTCCAAAACAAAAAAGATGGTTCAGCACAAGCAAATGTTGTCACGAACATAGGAGGGAGAAGGGGAGAGAGAGAGAGAGAGAGAGAGAGAGAGTTAAATCAAAGTGAAACAAAAACTAACGCATGCATACCAACAAATTAATTATGTGAATTGATGAGTATACAAATGCAAACATATTAAACAGTTAAATAACAATATAACATATTAGTAAGATAAATCTAGGTTCCTAATAGAGAATCTCAAGACAGTAACGATTTATCCAATGAATTTTGGCGTCTACATAAAGTTATAAATTTGCTATTTGCTCAATAATATACAATGTTAGTTTGTAAGCTGCCATGGATTTTCAGACCATTGCTACTCTTTGTAATAAAACAATAAGTTAGAAAATCTACAAAAGAATTGCAGAACTTGACAACACACATACAAACCCTGCTTTTTGAGTAGTTTAATCATCACTCTGATTTCCATCAGAGCTTAAATTCATATCCTTACAAGAATGTTCAAATGATTATGAAAGAGAGGGAGAGCAATCCCATTTGACCAATCTGTTTCCATTACCAATTAAAGACATGCATGACCATTTTTCCACCCTCCACTAGACTGAAAGTCCCTTTAAAGTGCTATTACTTGTCTGGCGCCTTCCTCAATGGCAAGTTTATGATAAAATCTCTTTCCATTTAATACTGATTTTTTCTATTTCTATGATAACTTAAAGTATCTTCTTCCTCCACCCAAACTCAACAAAAGCTTTACTTTGTAAAAAAATTGTATCTGTATTTGAGACCTGAGGCTTAAACGCCTGCCATAATCATATATCAACACAGTATCCCTTTAATTGGCAATCCATGCAAAACCTCACATGCATTAGGTCACACTAAAAACCAGAGAAACATAAGGGCAAAATACAGACCTTCACTAACTGAATGAAGGCCTTCTCCCAGGCCACTGCCTTCCTAGAATCATTGCCTTCTTTATCAATTGCGTTGTTTACAGGATAGGTTATAATAAATGCAGAAGCCTGTCATGGAATCATCATAGGTTTACTACAAATCTTAATCAAATTTGCAACTAACAAGGGGGCAGAAAATTACCTCAGAATAATTATTCCCGGAGAAACCTCCTAATGCAGTGCTTGGATCAAGGGGGGCTTTAAATGCACTCATACATGTGTCCGCTGAGGTATAATGCTTAAAGAAGCATATGGTATATGATTGTCAACAGGCATTCAGTTTATCATTGAGAAAAACATTATCACCATGTTCATTAAAAGAATAAACACGACATCTCAAAACACACACACAAAGCCACAAATTTAAATATTAGCTTTGAAATTCTTTTCCACAATTTAAGTTCAAGAGAAAGGTAAACAACAAAAGAGACAACTCTAAGCATACTCAGATATTAGGAGGGGAAAAGCTACGTATTAGGCTGAGGGTGAATGATTCTATAATATTTTAAGTGCTTCTTCTTTCAAAATAGATACTTTTTAAAAGTTATACAGGTATGCCTCCAAGACAACTTTCATTCTCAAATGCAAAAACCATACTGTGCAAAGCAAATGAAATACAGATATAGCAACATCCACCTAATGGATATCCCATCCTATTATATAATTGTTTAGTTTAAACAAGTACTGCTCCATTAGATCAAACCTTCGAGAGAGAGATATATTATGTCAATGTTGTGTTTTGAATTGATATTCATCATGAGAATAGCATCAAAAATATTCGTACATTTGTTTCAATTGTCACATCTATTTTTCTTCCTTTTTGATTGATGAGTATAGAAACTTTTAGTGCTATGCAATGAAACTTCACTGACAACAAAATCCAAGTTTTTTTCCCCTGATTGAGATTATAATAATAAAGTTGTTGGTTATATTCATTTTAACTGTTTCTAGCACTACTCTTTAAAAAATAAGGTCCTCATAGAACACCAAATACATGAAAAGTTATACAAACATTTCTAATATGTGACTTACAAACAACTGATTTACAACATGAAAATAGAGATCACCAGAATGTACCTGAAAACAATACTCAACATGTTCGACACCCCCATAGTCACCATAATTTCCAGCATCCATCTTGAAATACTATCACAAAATATAATGTGTTAGACACAATAAAAGTAAAATGATAGAGAAGGAACCAAGTTACAACAATTGATAGTAAAGATAACAGTATATGAAATATATATAACAATTTTAAAATGACACAGAAGGAACTTCTGTATTAAACATAGATCAAACAAGAAAGAAGCAGACAACAATGGCGACGGGCTCCACGAGAAATAAAAATGAATTGTAAAATAATCATCGAAAGAACACATAAAAACAGGTCTGCTTAGACCAAAATAAATTTGACATGAGAAAGAAGCATGTGTCAGTGCCAAGCTTCTGATATATTCACAAAATAGTTCCCCACGCAGAAGAATAAATAAGTATATGCATCGCATTCCAAGAACTATAGTAACCACTGGTAGTGAATGATGATGTATGATGCCACTAAAAGAACAAATCACAAGATCTATTTTTCATTTTAATCAGATGACTATCTTCAATATTTAACAAGAGAAATCCTGGATCGTGTAAATTGGGTTCAAAGTTTGTTAGGAGTATATAGAAAGTAATGAAGAATTCAGGACAATAAGTCCTACAAAAGTTAGAAGAGAATATTAAGTTCATCATGGGGTTGTATCTCTACTAATTGGTGTGGTGAAAAGACAAGAACCTTGAACCTGTATCTTAGTCTACAATGTAGCTTCCAGTTAAAATGAGATTTTAAATCCACTTTCATAGATGCTTGCAAAAATACCCTTTGACCTTCAGTGTCCAATACTAAAGAAATCAACTGAAAGTAATCATGTATTTAAAGGGAAAGAGATTAATTGAGTCAACTGATCTGTTCCAATAAAGATCCCAACAAATGAACCACAATGTAACCATGAAATTGTGGGAGTAAAATTGCCATAATGAGGCTATCAATTGGATGAACTTGAATAAGACTTGCTGATCAAGGATTGATCATGTTGTTGCCATTTATATAATCTCTGCAATTTGTAAGAACATGCAAATATTTCAGCACATTTTTGCTTTGTATTTCTATAAAATTTGATGTAATTTTGGTAAATCTTTGTATCAATTGAACTTATATCAGGCACACCGAACTTTTGACAGTAATGTTCGTTTTCTCTCAACAAGATCCTAATCATGAAAATTGAAAACCAAATAAGCAAAAGAGCTTATGTAAAGTGGTTTATATCCTTCTGAATCTATGCTCCAAATCTCGTTAAGTCACATTAGACTTTAGTATATATTGGTCCTCGCCGAAAACTCAAGTGCTTACAGTTCACCATATTCTAATGCTTTTGGAAAACAAGGTAAAATTCAGCAGAGCAATGTTCCAATCCTATTAATTGGTATTTCCATGAAAAAGAAGAGGCCAAAATATTGTTTAATGGATATAGCTGCTAAGATAGTGTGCAGAAAGATTAAACCATGTGTTTCTTATCAGCCCTAGTTTCTGAATGGATTCAGACAGACAGAATTTCAACATTTCATAACCTAATAACGTTTGATAATGTACATTTTGGAAATGAAGGCTTCACAGAAATATGCGTAAGATCATTCAAGAATGATACCTGTAGAACACTTTGAGTGGCACAGTCCTGACCAAGTGGCTTCATGCAAATGTCGCTCAGAGATACCAATGAGCCAGAATAATTTGCCCGAATTCCATCCACCTGTCAAAATGAAGTAAACTTGATTCAAAAGGAGAAGGAAAAAAAAAAAAAAAAAACGAAGAAGAAGAAGAAGATCAGATACTTAACAGCACTCAACCATATCATATCCAGCAATAGTGAAGTAAACACTAAAAGATTTTTTTGTCGATATCCATAATAATTTTTGTACATGAATCACAGTTTACATATCTAATTTACTTGTGGAAAGTAACAGTGCAAAAAGATACCTTATTTTGTATGTCAAAAAGTAACTTGATATTGTTCTCTGTGACAATACTTGGCGACTTGCCATGCATTGCATCTGGAACTGTTGCTATTAGGAGCTGCAAATGCGAGGTGACGTTATTTTCTTGCAAGGTTGTAGCAGAATTAGAAAGAAAAAAAAAATGCTAAATTAAATAAATAGGACATTAGAAATGGATTAACAAGTGAAAGAAACAAGTGATAATTTCCTAGTGAATCAAATGATACCAAGTCCAGTCCACTTGAGTGGATATTCAGGTCTGAAAAGATCAACCAAATTACATTCCAATTAAGGTTCTAAACTGTTCACATCTGGTGCAGATCATATATATATATTGAATTATTTTATGCACCACATCAAAGTTTGATCCAAAATTACAGACCGATAATTATTGAAACCAAGTATGAATTAGATTGGAAAGAATTAACGTTCATTTCAAAACCAAGAAATAAAATTTCTAGCCTAATTATGAACTTATATAATACCATCTCCAGAAACATATATCCTGATAAAAAAAAAATTGTTAACCTCTATAAATAATGGTTAATCAGTTGTAAACATAAAAAAAGATACAAAATCCTTTTGTATGCAATCATAGAGGATTCCTCCATAGACTCCACCTGCTGTATATTTGCAGGAAACAATAAGAACCAAACAACATTTGAAAAGTTTTTTTTTTTTTCCTAGTTGGGACTCACACACACTGCCTCCACTGAGGTTCTAACCCCTGACCTCCCTTTGGGAAGTAGGAGTCTTGTACCGCTAGACCACAGGCCTGTTAGTAACATTTGAAAGGTTCTTGAGCTGAGAAAAGGAAAGCCACAAGTTGAGTTGAAGGAAGAAAGCAATTCTATAATACTATGAGAGGAAGAAGAAAAAGACCAAGAGGAAAAGGTACAATGAATAAGTTTCAGGTGACGTGAGAAATTAGAGGACTGGGGTGCAGTCGTCCCTAAGATAAGTATCTGAAGTAAAACAATGAGAGGTGAAAAGTTTAGGCTTAGTGATAGCAAGGAATAATGTTCTCCGCCTATAATCATGACTACAACATAGAAAAAGAATTTCTGAGAGGTCTTTGATGAGCTTGATAATCAGATCTTGGTAGTCCCAATCCTAATAATTAAAATAGAAAAAATTATATTCGTAGAAACAACTAAAAGACAGTTAGAACAAGAAATAAATGCATTTGCCCCAATGTGTTGGTAGAACAAAATAGGAATGACATTAGAAAAACAGTTAAGATAGTTTGGCCATACACAATGAAGACCAACTATGCAACCAAACAAAGGAAGATAAACTTCGAGTTAAAGGCTTCCAAGGACAAAAAGGAAACTCTAAGGATGATTAGTTCAGGCACTGAAAGGAGACATACTGTAATCAACAGGTAGCTGGCCCAAATGGGTGGTAAGAGGCATTGACAGTTGAGTTTTACTAAAAAAGAAGAAGAAGAGTCAACTGTATCTAACTAAACTGTATCAGCAAACTGTAAACATAAAAGCATGATTAAATATAAAACTCTACTACAAAAGATCGTTTCATAAAATTAGAATTTCTCCTGTAGATGCATAGAAAGAGAAACAACCAAAAAAGCTGCATATAGGATTTCACCATACTGTCTGCACAAAAAAATGACAAGAGGAGATATTGAATAGTATGTAATACTGACTAAATTTCCAGATATAAGTACAAGAAAACATGCAATAACAAAGATGCGTACACTATATAATGATACAAAACCTGCTCAATTCTGTAAAAAGGGGCAAGGTGGCTGTCAAAAAATTGTTTCTCTACTGCAGCTTCACTCCCGGGTCCCACCCATAGCTGAAATTATACAGATGTTAAAATTTGATAGATATTAGGAGTATATCGGCATAAGAATAAAAATAATATTGTGATGAAAATAAACTTGTTAAAACTAGAAGCCTATTTAGATACACTGCTTACAGGATCCAAGAAAACCTACACTCCCCGCAACCACTCACCCCTCAAAACACACAAGCACATAAAATCTCATCAACAAAGCATTAGAAGCCTTGTTTCCATCCAATAAGAAATTCAGTGTGTGGAATGCTATGCAGGGTTTCAGGTTCCTCAAAAGCGCAAAAATTATTCCTTTATTTAGGAAGTTGTGATAACTAGACAATGACAATGTTGTTGCCCTTTAATGAGTATAAAACCCCTTCATCTGAACAATTGTCCAAGAAGTTAATCATCAACAAGAACAGAAAATGTATTTTTGAAGCTGAAATACTTCCCATTTAATCAACAAATGAATATAGGACACAGTATACACAAGAACTAGGACCACTCTTATCATGTGTTTTAAGGAAAAAATATGAATACTGCACTACAGTAGTCAATTTAGTCAAGCTTCCACCAAAAAAAATGATTTGAGCATGTCATGAATGAACCCTTCTTTTCTGTACTGCCAAGTAGCAAAGCAGTTTTACCACAATAGGACAAATGGGATTTCCAATAGCATTTGTGGATATATGAACCATTTAAAACAAGCACAGCTCACCACACAGCACAAATTCCATTAGTTAGGTACATCTTCAGTCAGAGTGAGGATCAAAATCAGAATTCAACTACATAAGAAAATCGCAGACCCAAAAGGAACTACCCACGGAAGCAAAATCAGGCACATTTGACAATGATGTGCACCACAGGCAACAAAAGGTATTTATAAGAATGCACTGATTTGGAAACTGAAAAAAGTTTTATCCCTATAGCATAGTAAAAGAGACTTAGACGCCATATCATACCTTCTCAGGCCTTGTCTCCACCTTAAAACGGATTAAGCCTAGACAAAGTAGAAGAACAACAGACAGTGACGAACATAACACAAGGATTGGATTTCTGGCAACCCAAGTTCCATATCTCCTGAACAAGATAAAGTGACTTCATGATTAAAAATCATTCTCTGTAGACTGATATAAGAATTAATGGCATTGACAGTAACCTGTAAAATTTCAACATATATCCTTGCACGATTGAAAGTTGAACCCCTTTCGCAGTTTGGGGAACATCCTCACGCATCTGATAATCAACAATGCAGTAAAGAAATGCATTATATGGTAGTCTCATCCGGAAGAAAAAATATTAAAAAACAAAAAAACAAGAAAGAGATGATAATTGAATTGACTTGGAGTAAAGAACGTTAATGTTGAAATCAAATTCAAAACATTTAAATAGTGAAAATGCACCTAAAGAAATTAATGGCAAAAAGATAAGAGCCACCAATAGAAGAAGAAATAATTTTCTGGAGAGCAAAGCCCCCATATGAAGGATATCAAGGTGCAAAGACAATTCATTCTTCTAATGCATGTCTTTTTTCTTTCTATAGTTGATGAATTAGGCAAATATTATTTAAACATAGGAACTAAAAAGTAATGCATATACAATGAGAATCTGATAGATAAGCATTGGCATACAGGACCCTAGGTATGAAAATAAGCGTGTAATCTACATATCCAACAAAAACAATCGTCTCAATTTTACTTATAGTAGAAAAGAGAAAATTACAGACCATCCTCTAACCCAACTGCAAGGACCATTACAAGGGCAGTCAATTCTAAGGGCAGTTTTGTGTAAATGGTGCCAAATATTAGGTTAGCATGTACTGTCCCCTTCCCAGCACCCCATATTAGTGGGACCAATCTGAATTTGGCCATCCTCTAAATCAACCACCCAACTTGAGTAACACCTCTACCATCGGCTCTCTTAGCTACACTCAACGACAACTGGTTGTGCCACCCACCTACTATCAAGTAAGGCTTAGAGTAAGGAAGTATCAAAACCACCTCTACAAATGAAATCCTTTGAAGTGCTTCTGATACTAAAAAAAAAAGGAAATAAATATTATCTAGTTCAAGCACTTCTCAGTCTGAATTATACTAAGGCATAAACACTGGATGGTTTTAGCTTTCAAATATAGATACATCTTTTAGTTAGGAACAAAAAAGAATTATTTTGGAAGTCATTCAAGCAACCAGAATAAGGACAAAATATGATCTGGGAAATTTTCAAGTTATTCAAAATGACAGGAACAATAGAGGATTTGCCATCAAATATATATTTGGAAATTTGGCGACTATTTCCATCATGACAATAAATCATTTGGTGAAGAATGAAAATTAGAAAGGTAGAAACCATAGGCACTCTTCATTTGGTGAAGAACGGAAATTCATGAATGTAAGATAAATATGCATCAAAAAATGGATTTATAATAGCATGCTGAAACAAACAAATCATTGGTGCTATATGGCAGATGGGCACGCACCTGTATGGGGAAGTTCTCCTCTTTTTGCTTGATGGAATCGATTTCACGGCCATCCATGACATTTAGAAACGGTTTCGTTCTAGAAGCTGGGATCCTTTCCCTTGTTCGATGAAACAAGCCCCATCCAAGAAAAACAGAAACCAATATGATATACAGAATTGCTACAACAAATTCAATACATCTTGCCTGCAGTCATCAAAAAGAAAAATCAAGTCGGCAAATGGTATATAAATTATAAAATCAGGTAATGCCATGCAGCAGAACAAAATCTTTCATAACACTACTTCGTCATGAGCCTTAAGAGTAAAATGCATTTATGGGCCTAAAAGTCTGTTCCATGAAATTAATCGATGCACCAGACATAAATTGGATCAATACCGTATTGAGTCCTCTCTCACCTTAAGAGACCCAATTCGTACTGAGCAGGAACCCTTTTTGTGAGGTGGAGGAGAAGCTGTATTAGAGCAGACAGCAGACAGAGGGCAATCGCCACAGGAACAGCCTAGCGAAGTATCACCACATGAATAAGTAGATACGTTCATAGGTTTCATTCCAGATGACTCAGGAGCAGTAGGCTTGAAAGTAATTGCATATGGTGAACCTGGCACACCAAGGCCTGCTCGTCTACCAATAAAAGCAAACCACTCTGCCAAAAAACACCAAGTTCCAATAAGCACTAAAAGTCAGAGAAGCTTAGAAGCATAATCATCAACATCTTCTTGAAGAGAATTCAGTAACTCAAATGATGAACACTACCATAATCCTTATCAGTGAAACTTAAATGCAAAAGAATGTAATTTAAGATGACCAAATTGCTCAAAAAGATCTAATAATAGTCAAGAATAAATGAAGAATTCTGTTTTACCTCAATCTCAAAATTTCCGCTAAGCCACACAAAAGCCTTGTGCTTGATAGGGATATTAAAACAGAAGGGGGAAAAAAACACGAACACAACACAAAACAAAACAAAACAAAACCAAAAAAAAAAAAAAAATTTAACAGATGAGAATTGAGCATGCTTAGGTTAGGCACACTACTCTATTGCAGTGCAGATATCTTATTTGCCACCAAAATCGTCACCTGGTTTTTGGCCCCTTCTTTTCTGAGCCTTATTTTCATCCAGCTGTCTTATTATTGTTCCCCACTTCTATATGATCATGCATATGTGTGTATAATAGAAAGAGAAAGAGAGCTTACCTTTAAAATTTTTAGCCCCAGCACCAATAAATTCTATGGCTCGAGTATTCATGGTACCAAACTTTACATCCTTGCAAGATTCAAATAACCCTTCCCCAAAAGTGTCAGTTATATAATATTCAATCCCATCCACAGTCAAATTGCTATTAACCTGGAAGAAGTATATACAAAAGAAGAATGAGATACATTGTCCAAAATTACACACTCCTACATAAACATACTATTGACGGACCACTGTTACTGTTATGAAAAAGATCTATTGACAGACCACTGTTATGAAAAATGACTGATGTTTTGTAGATAAATTCAAACATGCAAAGAGATTATATTATTGGCTTCAGCAATTTAAAATTTTCAATTGACCAATAAACTCAAAAATGCAAAGAAAAAATTTGATGCAGGCCTTATATGCATAGCACTTCAATTTATGGAAAATCGGACCAACAGGGAGCAAGGAGTCTTTTTTGGAGTTTTATTCTTTTATTAATTTATTAGTACAGCTGTTCACATTATTATGATGTAATTCATTACCGCACCATAGCAGTTCATACTGCTGTAGCATTTGCTATACTGCCATTGTTCATGCCACCATATCAGTCATTGATGAGAAAATTTGTCTTTTATTATTTCAGTATGGAAGTTTTACATTTGAGTTGATCCAAGGGCCAAGATTTAATTTTAATCAGGGTTTTGTTTAATCAAATTCAGTTGTACCCTATCTTGGTTAAATGTTCCCGGGACATTTTGGATGAATTAATGCATAGAATGATGCTTGCTTGTCCCTTTCTATTTCCTCTCTCGCACGCTCATTTTCTCAAATAGGATAAAAAGGGAAACTATGGGCTAGAATATGGCCAAATATGTTACTAACATTTATGAGTTCCACCTGATTTATAAATAAATATACATATGTGACTGTACAAGGAGAACAGTAACCATAAGCTATATGACGGTGTCAAGGAAAGTGCATTCTAAATCCAAATGATTTTACAAACAAATATATATGTCACTGTCACCACTCAAATTCAAAAGAAAATAAATGGATTTGTTGCCAACCAATCTTTTAAATGAAATTTCAAATACAGGTTAGTCTCCTTAGAGTTTAAAGAGAACAAGATTGGTTAGTCAAAATAAAGAGGAAGGCATGAGAATAAAAGAGATATCCCAAAGAGTCAGAAAACCAATAGTTCTATACAAATATTTATTTATAGTGGCACTGGAAATCATTAATAGGAGTTTCTGACCTTGGAAACAGAAGTCACATTGATAAAGAGGCTCTGGTTTGGGGAGCAGGTTAGCTCACAGAAAAGATTCAAAAAATTTCTCAAGCATGCTGGACAGCCTACAAGAAAAGGAATTGCCTGCAAGAAGAACATAGAAGTAGAAAAGTGACATTATTTTATGGGACGTAGCACAACTTACTAGCACGGAAGACAGCCATACTTCAGTTAACCCTTAGATAGAAACAGTAAATATATATTTGCACCTACACCTATGACATGTAAAAATAATAACAGCAAATACAAAAAGGAGAATTTCCCCCAGAACGTTGACCAGAAAACAGCAAAGTTTGACGTCAGACCACTAGAGTACTGAGAAATATAAAAAATGATTTATTTGTGTGCACGTCTCTTATCCTCCGGAATAGAGTTTAATGGGAAAATGATAGGCATTACCACTTGAATGAGCTGATCCATCATCCAAGGAATGAACCTCAAAAATACGGACAAGTGAAAAAGAAACTACTATCTTGACAGATAGTATATCTATAACAAGCATCAAACTGAATTCCTTGACAACATATGTAAGAATTCGTGATCTAATTATCCCATTATTGCTTTATTTGCTTCCATGAACACGTGAGACCTAAAATGTTAACTGAGATAGAAAAATCATGTGATCAAGGATAGAATGCAGTAATTATATAAATCACGAAGGTTAAACTTCTTTTTGTTACAAAAATATAGTTAGTAATCAGCTTGCCGAGATGAACAAATAGTATGAGTGGAGGTAGTTCGAGTAGCAGGAACAACTTGTGGTAACGGAAGGCGCTAAGCTAACAAGGCCATTTTTAGAAGCTCGTGTGACAAGCTGCAAAATCATGTTAATAATCACCACGCAGGTGAATAGTGAATGAAACTTTATAAGCAGAGAATATGTTGCATTTCAATTGGATGTTAAAAGTTCTAATATTTATTTCGGGACCTCAATCACTATATAATGGACACCCATATTCACCAGTAAATAGAAGACTTTTGGCCCATTTCCCATGCAACATCTTCACTAGTCAAGATGACTACATGTGGCATTTTTATTCATACATATTATAACCCTTATATCATATTTTAATGTATTTAGGCAACGAGAGGTATTGCGTGGAGCTGCTGGCTTCTCCATTGAAACAATGAGAGAAATAAAATAACCAATGAAATGACTTTTTCTCTATTATTTGATATATAAGCTGCTGAGGTCAACCAAGAGGGCAACTAGAGGGAATTGGACCAGCAGGAGCAATAGGTGCCAACTGGTAGAGCTAAAGGCTAACAAGGCTGCCCTTAGAATCTCATTTGACCTGATGTGGGAAGATATGGGCTGGAAAAGTGTGTTAACAAAAACCATTCGTAAGTAGCAAATCCTCTCCCACTGAATTCTGTTTTTTCTACACATGTTCTCAGAACAATGATTGGATCAATCTCAATAAACGGTGCCTATCTTCTGCATTTGAAGAGTCGTTCATTCATAAAATAGTTATTATTTGAGGTGTTACTAGGGCTGCAAATGAATCGAGCTGTTCGAGTTGTTCATGAACAGCTCGGGATCGGCTCAGGATCATACATTAAGTAAACAAGCCGAGCTTGAGCACATTTATTAGGCTCGTTTGATAAACGAACCGAGCTTGAACACCGTTGAGCTCGGCTTGTGAACAGGCTCATTTACTTTTATTTATATAGTATATTTATAATTTTAAGGTCCACAATAAGTTTTATATTAATATTAACAGCCCATTATACATTTTAGAATATTCAGGTCCTCTAATCCAAGCTCGCCCAAACACGAGCCTAGCTTGAACACCCCTCTTAATTTAGCAAGCCGAGCCCGAACACCCTAAAGCTCGGCTCAGCTCGGTTCAATTGCAGCCTTAGGTGTTACATTGTGGTTGTTCCCTCAAAAAAACAAGAGAAATAAATTCCAAACATGCAGGTGGAGGAAGAGTACAACAAGGTAAGGTTGGATTCCTATATCCTGATGAAAAACGCCATTCATGTTCCAACAAAGACGTGAATCCTCTTATCTGCTCAAATTGGCCGTATACTACCACTATTTGGAAGCAATTCCAACAAAAATACGATTACTTCCTATATAATTAATGAAGGAAGATTTTATTTCCATGGTATATAGTATATTTTTTATTTAAATGCATTTTTAGCATAATTACCAGTAGAAGAAGAAGAAATCATAAAGTTGGAAACTGATGCCAGCCGTCTTGGTAATTTCAATGGCCGAAACCTACACACGTGAGCACTTCTACAAGACAACATTTGTGAGGAAAATGAATTTGGGTGTCTCTTCAATTATGTCTCATTCCTCAGATGGTGCATTGTATAAAGGAAAACAACTGAAAGGGCTTTCATATCCCAATAAGTAAGAAACAGTATGATCCATTTCAAGTAGTAAGTTGATGACTTATGAGAGTAACAGTATGACCCATTTCAAGTAATAAGTTGATGATACTAAAAGTATATACTGCATTGACAATGGCAGAAGTTGGTAGATCATAAAAAAACAGTAAAATTGCTTTAAAATAATGACACACGGTATCATTAATAGATAAAATGAAATATCTTACTTGCTGGACTTGCGTCCTCAAAGTATCAAATTGAGCCTCTGTACAACAGACATTGCCAGTGATTGTTGGACACAAACTCTGGATCTTTGATGACAACAAATAATCTGGCTGGAAAACACAAAAAATAACATTTCCATAACTAGATAATAACAATCTAATAAGCAGTGCAATGCAATTAGTATCAGAAGCCAAAAGCAATACAGGTTCTATTAGTCCTACTTACTAAAACAGAGCCCAAACCCAGAACCAAAAATATAACTTCTGATAAATACTCAACTGAGTGGAAAAGATAAATTGGGGTGAACCCATTTTTAAAAAATAAAAAATAATAAAATAATAAAAAAAGAGAAAATCGAGTGGAGAGTATCATAAGTCAAATTTCAAGACATATAAACCATACAAAACGTCATGTTCTACTTTAAATTCCACTATTGCATTATCCTTACATATGAGAATTACCTTCACAGATGGGGAACCAAAAGGACAGTTCAGTACTTTCTTATCAGTGCGCCCTCCACAAATTTCATACATAGCACAATACTCTTCAGAATGTCTTTGCCTAACCAGCAGAAAAATAATTATAGTGATACCTCAACTTTATAGAATAATATAATAAATTCAACTTTGTAAAATATTGCATCCATGTGGAAATAAGAGATATACAAGAATAACTATATTATTGCAGCTATTTCTGGCTTGACAAAAAAATAAAAACATGGACATCCAAGAACAAGGGTTGAATACCTATTTGTAAATTAAAAACACTAACATGCATGATGTAATCCATTATCTGAATTTGAGATTGATAAAACCAAATGCTATATTAGCACAGACAACACCCAATAAAAAAACAATAGCACTTCCCCACAATACAAAAACTTGAATAAAAATTTCAGGAAAAGGACAAGCGCTGCCTAACAACATACCCAAAATAAATAAATAAAATAAAATAAAATAAAAGAAGAAAATAACCCGGAAAGACATTCTTATGTCCATACAAGTAAAAGCTAATGGATAATATTTCAACACACAAACTGTTTACCAAACATGATTCTTTACATGTAATTAATAGTATGGTATGATGAATTGTTAAAATAAATAAAAATATATATTTAAAAAAATAAAAACTGTGTTTGTAACCAACAAAAGAAGAACTGCATTTTGCCTGTAGGGTGAGAACTTACCCCCATGAGGTGTTTGACGTCAAAAGATATCTTGTATTTGACCTTTCTGCGCTGGCTACAGATACAAGAAATAACACCTGCAATTGCAATTCGCAATTAAGTGAAAAAAATCACTAAATTCGCCACCTGTGACTTGAAATACAAAGGCCTACTCAAAGATGTGACACAACACTTAGCATGCCATGTGACCAAGAACAAGAGAGATTGGTGTTTGTCTCGGCGGTCTACTTTGTATCTTAATGAAACGATATTCAAATAAGATGTAGTTTAGAGCTCAATTAAATTTTAAGTCAGCCCAAAATTCTCTAAATTAATCAATCCCGAAACAGACAATTCTTGAGCCAAACAGAAATAAATAACTACAAGACTACAGAGAAATTCTGTGTTTTTAGTATATCAGAATGAAATTTCAAAAGCAAATCATCATAAACACCCATTCACAATCATAAATTCAGTTAAACCGGATCAAAAGTTACACATTATAAATTTTGTGAAACAATAATTTTCCAGTAGAAAAAACAAGAAAATAAAGGAAATTGATTTTGCTGAGACTCCGCCGTCCATTACTCTGCAAATTGCGAAACAGTCCCCGCAAATTCACTTCACCAAAAACCATCAAAATTCAGAAGAATTTCAAGATTTATAAAAGTAGTTGAAAACTTGAAATTCATAAGAATCACTTAAATCACTCTAAATGGTTAACCATTCAGATTAAAAATAAAAAATAAAAAATAAAAAAGAACACATTGGATTGGAAGTGAACAAGAAAAAAAAAAGGATTGAAATATGAAAAAGAAAGCGAAGTTCCAGATACGACGTCGCTGCCATGTTCACAAGAATGCCTCTGTATCTGTACCAAAACACAAAAGCTGGAGATCAAACAAAGACCGCACGGAAATGAGTCTTGCCTGAAACAAATAAACCGCCGCTCGAAACCCTAGGTGAGGCCCCATTCTTCTTCTGTGTGAGAACTCCATTTCTCCGTCCACGATACAGAGAGAGAAGCAAGACGCTGATAGTGGTTCTGTGTATATATATAGAGATATAGATATAGAGAGAGAGAGTGGGAGAGACGTAGGTATTTATAGTACTGTATACTGTATGGTAGTAGTTATTTCTCGGCAAGTAGTCACTAGTCACACTACGCTGTAGACTCTGTCACTCTGCTAGTAACATCACGATTTTTAAGAGGGGCAAAATGAATCAACCTAGATAAGTAAAAAGCTTGTCTTGTAAATTTACAAGAATACCCTTACTTTCGGTTACTTTGTCGGGTAGATAAATTCTCAAAAGCGGAGCAGCAAATCACCGCTTCTAGGTTGTCGTGTGCGCGTGGGGGAATGAGGATGTTTCAGTAATTTTGACGAATGATGGTTTAGTATATGGTATGGTAAGTAATGTGAGAATGTGATTTGAGAACTTTCCTCGGATAATATAGACACGGAAGTGATTGGCGATGGTATCGGGAAAATCACAACAAACACGCAATCTTCAGTCCCTATGAATTGATTGTTCTAATTTTTTTAATTTAATTAGGAAAAAAATAAATTTTCTAATTAAATTAAACGTTGCTTCTAGAAAATAATAGGTAAAAATTATAGAACTTGTTTGATTTTGTAACTCTAAAAATAGGTTTCAATAATTTAAAAAATATAAAACAGTTTTAAGATAATAATAAAAGACAGTTATCTCAAAACAACCTTTTTATAGCTGAGTTTTCAAAAAATTGAATTAAGCAGAATTTTTTTTTTACAGTTTTCTATTTTTTATTTTATAATGTCATAACTTTCTCAAATTATTGTTAGGGTTTTTTTTAAATAAAAAAAAACCAATATTGACAATGTACTCTATATCTTCTCTTTAAAAAAAAAATTAGGGTTCAAAAAGACTTGTTTTCTTTCCTTTTGAGATAGATTGAATATTTGTTTAGGTGTTTGTGTAATAAAAGTTGTAATATTGCAAAATTTAGGATTATATAAATTTGAGAAGAGAGCATTCATACTGCTTGCAAGTAACAATAAAGTCGTTATGAGATACATTTCATAATTGTTACATTGACTTTGAGTGATCATGTTTCTTGTATTAAAATGGTGTTGTTAAAAAGTAATTGATAAAGAAGCTTTAGTTTGGCCAAATTAAAAATAATAATAAGAATAATAGTAATATAAAATTACTTTGGAACATGTGATCCCCTCTAAATGAATTTTGATATGAAATTTTGACAGTGTAATTTTCGGATTATTCTAGTTTATGAATTATGTATGTGTATTGAATTTTAAATTTGAAATGACGAAGTTTAAAAAGTTGAGTGTTTAAGCATACCTTGTTGTAATCTTTATTATACAATAAAGTCAGAAATTAGATTTATTATAGTCTTCTAATCTCATGCCCTAATGTAAATTGAGCCAAGATTGTGCCTTTGGTCAAAGTTCATTCTCAACACCCAATATTTATTTTAATTTTTAGAAGTAAAAAAAAAAAAAATGAAAACCTACATCAGAAGTAAAAATGACAGGTTTGAGAAACATTATAATTGTCCAAAGCATTATAAAAATTGTAAAAGAAATTTGCCAATAAGGTCAACTTTATAATTAGGACTATAATAATGTCTTAGGACTTGTTCATTGAAGTCTATTAAAACAGTTTTCATTAACTTTTAAATTATATATATATATATAGTTTTCAAGCAGAATAAAATTCGGAAACTAAGGTATTTTTAACTGTATATATATTTTTTATAATATCTCATAAGCCATTGCCAACAGAACAATACACCAGTTTATGCTAAAGAATGTCGCGGTGACATTTGATAAGCCATAATTAAAACAGCTTAATAAATTTCATTTTTTACCATTTAATTAAGACTAATGTACAGGGCTTGAGCAAGGCGACAAGGGCCTAGGGCCTCCCATTTGGAAGGGTCTGACATTCAAGTCATAATTTTAATAATTAAAAGACAATATATACATATATATATATATATATATATATATATATATATATATATCATGTAAATTTTTGACAATAAGTAATTATAAATATATATGTGTGTGACAATAAACACATATACTTATAATATCAATGCATATATATTATACAATTATTTGTTTCTATACCCTCCTTCAAAATAAATTTTTTTTTTTTTTAATATTTAAACTCATAAATTTGTTTATTTTATTATTATATTATTTTTAGGCTTATGTGCATGCATGACCAGCTCCATTAAGCCCCGTCTAAGCAACCAAAATTTTAAAATCTCTTAAAATATGATATGGTTTCTGATATTGATGGGATATGGTTATTTTCAGGTACAAGTTTTTAAGAGAAACTTTACCAAGAGGAACAAAAGAGACAAATGAAGTATTTGATTTTGTAAAATCCCAAGAGAAGTTTTTCAAAGTTAAATTTGATCAAATTTTACCTACGGTTGACTCTGTCATAAGATATATTGAATTGATTGGTTATGAAACCTATTAAAAAAGATATGTTGGAGAAATTTATAAATTTGCAACTCAAAATGTAAGACAATCACATTTAATTTGATACGAAATTGAATTTTTATTTTTGTGACTAAGTTGTATTGAATATTTATTTTAATTTTTTAATATAAACTGTATCGTGCTCTTTATAAAGCATCAAGATCGGGTGTTTTATGTGTTTTCAACATTAATATATTTTATGTGTTTATGATTGTATTTTAATGAAATATTTGCACTTGTATATAATTTTTATTTATTTATTTATTTTTTTGCGTATGAAACCTTATAAAGGGCCTTGCATTTGAAATTTTGCCTCAGCCCTCTTAAAATTTTAAAAATCTCATAACCGACCCTGCTAATGTAACTATATATATATTTTTTCTTTTTACTATTATATTTAAACTATGTAAGAGTTCATTAATTGATTTAAATTATTTAAACTACTCGTACAAGGGTCGTAATAAATATATGGTTTATGATGTGATACTTCATTTGATTTTTTCATTTAATAAAGAGAAATGACACATTTATTTATCAAAAGTCTAGTGAAAGGGTAATTTTAAAAAATATTTTTGGAGCATGAAAGTGCTTTTTGGAGGACAATTGTGTTTTTTATTTAAAAAAAAAAAGAAAATATAGAGTGAAAATAATATTTATTTTTCTCAACAAGTGTATTAGTGGTCTCATTGTACTCACAATAAGAGTCACAGTTTCTCAAAGAGAGACACTTCTTTTGAGACAAAGAAAATATTATACTTTATAAGCTTTTATGACACGTTTTTGCGGTATTTAAATCTATAGTGTAAATTGGAGCTTTAAATGTTAGGGCAAGGCTTTATAATAATTTTGAAATATTAGCACTTTTAATTTTTAATCTTTTTTTATCATTGACAAAAAAATTTATACACTCACTTTACTCATTTAGAAAATCAAATTCTCACCATCACTGTTAGAGATACCACGACCAAAGAGCCTTGTGAAATATTAGCTCATTAAAGGACATACTTGAAAGAACTTAAAAAAGAAAAAAAACTAACTGACATAATATATTCTTAGGAAGTCCCCGGACTTAATTTCCAACAAACTGTACATTAAACACACTCGTTGACAAAATATTTTGTTCAAATTTTATTTATATATATATATATATATTTAAAAAGCCAAACTACACTAAACTCCCTGCACAATAAATAAAATAAAAAATAAAAAAAACAAAATACCCCTTCTACTATTTATTTCTTTTTTTAGCAACAACCACTCTCAAATAGTCAAAACTTACAAATTACTCTCTTGGTGGAAGTTTGAATTATGTTGTTAAAGTGATTGAACTGTCGTGTTAAATTGGTTATTTGGCATTGTTTGACATGCGTTTTGTCTATGCTGTTTTTATTTTTGGATTATTACAGTGTCGATTTTAGTAACAAAAGTATATTTGGTGAGACTTTATTTTGTTTTATACAGTATTAAAACACTTTGTGAACAGTGGTCCAAAATTAAAATACCTAAAAGTTATTTTTTCTTATTTTAATAACTATTTGTGACCCAAAATCATAACAGTAGCGCAACACGAGTCAAAAGGAAAACGTCTAAAACATGATTCCAATTTTTTTCCTAAAATATTTCCACAACCAAAAAACAAGACATGTCGAATAGTTCCTTACAGCATTGATGGGGAGGAAGTTAAAATTTTGATGTTAATATATTCATGTGCGTACACATAGGTGACGTGAGAATGAAAATACCTTTACACATTACTTGTTTTATCCTTTATAATTAATTTTACAAAATAATAATAATAATAATAATTATAATTAATGGTAACTTATTTTAAGAATAAATAAAAATATCCTCATATCAAATGGGACCCAAATGGAATAGAGAGATTGTGATAGAAATACAATATGCAATCTTTTTCCACATTATGACTTCGGTGTCCAATTCTCAAATTGGGGTTTATCTCTAAAAAAATGATTAGCAAAAGAATGGATTACATATGAGAGAGAGAGGTGTTTATACAGCATGCAGGGTGATGAGTGCTCCTTTTTCGGCTGCTAATCACCACCATACGCGTGGTTACAAATTATTAGAATATATAGCACTTGGAAAGTTCTATTGTTGGCTGTTTGTTATTAATGGACAAACACAAATTTCCACTCACCACTAAGTTTTTTTTACGATGCTTAGGATGATTACTCCATGAGTAATGATAATAGGATGCTTTTAAGGTAGTGAGGCGTTGGTAAAGATTTTGGAACGTAAGTTCTTAAAATCATTTTTAAATAGTATTTTTGACTTAAATAATGTATATATTGTAGAGTAAATATATATATTCTAAGAAAAAAGATAATAAATTTTTTTTTGAGTCCTCCATTTTGAAAAAATTATTTAGTTTGATTAATTTTTTCACTTGACTGAATATATTCTTTTTAAATTAGGCAATAATAATAGAGGTTGGCGCATTGAATTTTCTGTGTGTTTCATTTAAATCCTCACGAGGTTGGCCTTGTGCAGGGGATTGGTAATCTCTTGGTCGTGATGGGTGGTTGAGAAACAATTAAACAAATACCTAAATTTAACATCTACTAATTCCAAATGGGATATTCCCATTAAAGAGATAGAAAATGAAAATGGCGGTTTATTGCGGTAGTTGAGAACCAAGCTTGACCA